TAATCAAAAGTGCATGAAAAAGCCGTCGTACAAAGCTGACTAAATAGCCAACTAATGTAAACTCCTTATAAAGACACAAATGGAACAACAACAAGGGAATGTTGTTTGAAAAGCACATACACACTACAGGTGCTTCATGCTATATATTTTTTCATCACCACAAAGAACTTTCTGGAACAGCTTCTAACTTATGTACATTAGACCTGTGAATCTAATTAATAGCTAATTATCAATATTAAGATTATTTATTTGCCTTTTGTACATCCATATATATGAATTGTTATTCTAACCCTCCAGTCAGTAACATATTACATCTGACCAGATTAGACAGCACAAAACTACACAAAGGCACTTAAAAACTAGACATTGATTTAGACATTAAATAGTTCACATTAAAGTAGACAGTAAATAAAACTGAATTAATATAATATCAGCCTTGATTAGCCTTGTAGCAAATTCTGTTTTTGTATATTTTTCTTAAATGAGAATGAAACACAGGTGGTATATGAAACTTATATGGCGAATATGTCATGATCTAAAATGACTTGGATTCATTTGATATTTGGATACACGCAGGCAAATTTTAAAGCGATACGTGTCACCGGTTCGCATTATAGGCTGCATTTAATCCAAAGTGTTTTTTCTTGGTGTTTGTGTAGTCAAAAGGCCGCCAGCTAGAAGCTCTGTTTATGGGAAAAAGTAGGCAAAATCCGGAGACTGACGGGCCCCATTCAAGGACACATAAAAATAAATAACACCTACGGCTCAGTCACACGCTGCGCGTTTCTCTGAGGAAGGAAAGCAAGAACGGGGCAAAAAGAAAATTCTGGAACTGAAATAAATCACCTGTCCAATAAAACAATGCAATTGATTATATTCATTAATGTTTAGTAAGTATCTGTCAGACTCTTGGGTGAATTTGCTCATTTTCCACAACGTCATCCAAACAATTTTTTCATTCCTTTAGATTTAGTGTGCTGATCTTGAGGGATGAAGCTTTTTTTTTTACCTGAAAATAATATTGCTTAGAAGCTCTTTACAGTTAAATAAACAATATAATTATGACTCAATACATATTTGGGTATATTTTTATTATGCCACTTGTAGCAGGAGAGTTCTCACTTTCCGCAGTCTAATTACCAATTATATTTGAGTGTAACAGATCAGGGTTAGTGGAATATAATACAAACTGGCACCCTTAAGATTGTTGAGGCGTTCTTGATTGTCGGCATGTACAGTTCTTAAAACATGCCCAGAGGATGCCAAAAAATGCACAAATATTTTTCCGTGTGCCTTCAACATGACTAGGCACAACTGCCCGGGTACGATTCGTGCCTTGGAAGGACACATTCGTCAGAGAGCACGTCTTTCACCGTGTCAGGAAGTATTGTCCCTTTCATGAACACTGTAGCCATTGACTTCTCACAAAAGGGGGTTGAAGCCAGCCAGTGGACAGCCCGTTGGCAGTGTGAAGCTCCTGGCAGACAAAGGGACGAAAAGGGGCATTATTTAAGGCAAAACTGCGTGGGAGTCTGACTGAACTTGCAAATGGCCTTGTCAGCATGCAAGGGAACTGCAAGCTGAGTTTAGGCACAAAGTTGTGACGCGGGGCTCTTGTTGCTATGAAACCGCGGAGACAAGACTATGTGTGCTTGGCTGAAATGATTCTTACCAAAACAAGATCGCAGCCAGTGAGAATGCAACATTTTAATAAATTCGGCAGTGTGCTCTGAATTGATGCGGTTTTCATCTCTCTTCTCTCGATATGGCGGTTCCAAGGAGTGCCAGCAGTTACCCACAAACCTCTCAGCTTACATTTGAACACACATGTGCCATAATATCCATCGGCAACAAACATGTTGCTGTCTGTGTAGCAAACATGCTGTGGTCTCCGTGAGACCAACATGCTGAGGTGTCTGTCTGTTTAATCAATGCGCTGTGGTGTTTGTCCATATAATGAAACTGTTGTGGTCTCCGTTTCATGAATGTGTTGTGGTCTGTCTACATACCGGATGTGGTCTCTGCCTGTTTATTGAATCTGCCATGATCTCTATCTGTATACTAAACTTGCTGCGTTCTCGTGTATTAGGCTCTGTTTGAAACCAGCCTTTTTTCAGCACTCAAATGGCGCTCCCGCACCATTCAGGTGTAATTTTTAAGCTGTGAAAGTCTCAATTACATGCATCCAATCTCAACAAAATGAAAGGAATTATATTCAGCACAATAAAGAACTAGCCACGTAAGTAGGAGGAACGAGGAACTGTAAAGGGCAGGGATGGTAAATTCCCCAGAGTCATTGGCAAGATAAAGTGCTCTTTTTAAGTCCTTCTCCACGCTTGTTTCCTTCATGCTTTTGGCCGTAAGCGTACTCACCTAACACCAAGGACACACCCCATCATGTAAACCCCTGGGTACCTCATGCCACGAGTTGGGTTGGGGCTCCTGGATGGATGAGTGAAGTCTTTGTCTGAATGACTGTGGCTTTGTTCCTTTGTTTGGCTCTGCATTCCTTCAGAGACAGGTAATGCAGAATCGCCCATGGACCTTCCCTTACATAGAGGGCCACACTGAGGGTCAGCTGAAAGGTCACATGTACAGCACCATGTCCTGGTAGCCGCCCTCAGCAGTGGCAAGGAGTGCTGATCTGTGACCAGCTAATAGTGTCAGAAAAAGCAGAGAGCCAAGAATCAGCACTTTGAGCGGGATAAGCTTCTCTCTGTGCTACCTGTTCCATTCCACCTCAGCTGGGACGCGGTCCTCGAGTTCACACGCTGGACTTCGCGCGCTAACGCCGGTCTTTGCCTTTGGCACACGCTTCAGCTATACCTCCTCCGTTCTCAGGTGTCGTCGATGTTCCTTTCTCAACCCTTAAGGGACAGAATTGCTACCAGTGGCGGTAACCCAATCCAGTGCTAGGGTAGGATCAGGGAGAATTCATCGCCCGTATTCTGTACTTCTGTAACAGTAAGTCTGGAAGCTCTTACAGAAAGCACTGGACACAAGACTGGGCACACCCTGAATGGGGTTCTGGCTCATCTCAGGCCATAGTTACACACAAAAGCACCTGAGAGTGAAAATTATAGAGCTCACACGTCTTCAGGCTGTGGGAGGAGCTCCTATTGAACATGGGAAGATCTCCGCACGCATAGAGCTGGGCTAGAAATCGAACCCACAGCCCAGGAACTGTCAGATCCCCATCTTCTCTAAACCTGTATAACTTTCACCAGTTGTTATTAATGACTTCATCAGCACCAAGTTGAGTAACAAATCAATATCAAGCTCCATCAATAGCGAGTATTGTAGCAGGTAAGGTAATAATTAGCTTAGTCAATTATCTGATTATGTAGGTCTCTGCATCTTCCCCAGTTATTAACGCGTTTTGTTCTGCTTATCAGATCAAGGGTTGTTCCCTTTGAAATCCAACCCTGTAGAATTTAATACCATCCAATGCTGTGAGTGTGACAGTGCCGGCAGAAGTATTGGGATGTGCAACAAATTTACCAATGAAGACAATTTAAATGCTCGCCTTTCAGAGGCCGCCGTTCCAGTGCCCCATAAAGTCCCCGGAGATGCCCGAGGTACCTTTGTCCTGGATTGCCTCAGACCCGCTGACTTAACCGGCTCATTCATGCAGAATTTTAGCCCACTGGCTGGGCCCCCATCCTCTGAGAAAAACAGACTGGAGCTAGCAGGCATCTGCACAGCTAAGCTCAGCACAGACCATCATACATGTCAATGTATCTGCTATATTTCTAATACTTTATTCTACATTTTCACTCCTTTGTAGAATTTAATATCTAGCTACATATTTCTTAGCAAGACTGAAAACAAGGCCACAAAAACACACCCATCTGGCACGATGGTCTGAAAAAGCAATACCCATAGCTTTTGTAATCCTTACATGACTATACACTTCCTTTTAATATTCCTATAAGCACAAGACTAATCATGTGCTGCATATGATTTCAGCCACTACATACAATCTTACTTTTTATTCATCCGATGCATTTTAGAGAAACTTTTGACTTAAACATTAACCATTCTGAGACTTTTTTGATTTATATTCTTAGAAATCCTGTCACATCTCGAATCATGTTACAAAGCAGGGCACATTTCCGAAATGTTTACATGACATGAAAAGTGAGAATACGAGCTACACAAGTAACGTTAACATACAATCACAGACAGAACATGGTCTGACCTTCTCCGTATATCTATTTATTTTCAGTTCTTACACCTACTATGTGTGCTTAACATCTCTTGTGTTCGTCTAAAAGTCTGACCACACATGGCTGAGTAAGACTTAATATCGTTACTGGTCGCAAAAATGGAAGATAAATTTGGACATGTTTATAAAGAACAAACCATTTGTTCTACTAATGCTGATAAAAAAAACTTTATGCTGGAAACAGTCCTTTGTATACAAAGGGCTTAAGGTCTCCATGGAAAAGGTAGCTTTTCATATCACTTGTTTTTCTTAGTGCCTCAGATGGCACAGGCCTCTGTTTGCATGCGAATTAACTTGTAATCTTAGTGCGAACCGAAGGGCCAGTTTTCCAGCAATTTCCCTTTATCGTCCTCGGCGTCTCTTGAAAGTAACATTGCAAAATCAGCCTTTCAGTCAACACAAGTCCCCCTCCCTGGTGTGTGGAGATTGCATGCTTCCTAACTCACATCTCTGCAGCATATCTATGCGCCAGTCTCACATCACCGTGAGAGTGCCGACAAAACCATGACAGAACCTGCGACACTTAAGATGACGATATTATCCTATCGAGTAGCTTGATGTTTTCCCAAACAGCAAAGCGATGTAACCTTGATGGATGAAAACAAGGTGTAATGACTACTGTACAATTATTAAGTGACACAAATCTGCTCATGCGGGGGTGAGGTTAGACCTTGCTTACAAGGGCTGTTTCAAAACACAGACAAAGGCAGTGAACCCCGTATTCTTAACCCTCTTTTAATTAATGTAATCTTAGAAGGTTCCTTGCGACGCCTCTCCCGATCTGGCTCTGCCCACTTCAAGCAGGAGGAGCAGGGAAAGTATAAAACCTGATTTGTCCAGTGAAGCTTTAGACTACTGGGAGACTTGGGAGAAGTTTGTGTGCAGCCGTATATCTCAGCCACCAGCACTGTCACCACCATGCAACCGCGGTAAGTGAGAAAGGTTTGTGGCTGGGTCTCGTCCGATTGTACGGTGAGCTTTCCGAGTGGAGTTGGACTAGAGTGCTTTCATCTAACCTGATCTCTGACAGGACCTATTGTTGCAGAAAACTGCAGTGCTTGAATTTAGACACTGAGGTAATTCATTGTTGAGGTACAGGGGAGTTCATTTGAATGTTTACCTGAAGTCCAGAATGCTCACAAGAGTATTAGGACGCTTACCTGAACATTAGAATGGTCACATAAACCTTATGTATATATAGTATTTGTAACCCTGAAGTCTTAGAATATTCTTGGTCTTAATGAACAGGAATGAGAAGAATGGTTAAATGTATATTATTTTTGAGATCAGTTTGTTTTGAGACTGTAAACAATAAACATGAGGTTAATTATCACATAATTCCTCATAATTCCTACATGTTTAATTTGTATCATTAGCATTGCAATACAATTGTTTTGTCATGTTGGCATGGATCTTGCCATTAATAATCTTTGACAGATGATGGAATACTGCAGAGTTTACAGTCGTCGTGTAGTTTTAATTGGTGTAGTATACATGCCCTCCTTGTTTTCAGTACAGAGTTTGTGTCTTTGAATTATGGTATCTGGGATATTTGTAAATTAATTTTGGGACTGATTCTATTGGCAATTCTCAGGGGAAAATTAGCCTGCAGTTTTCTTGATTATTATAATAATATATATTATTTCAGTTTAAAATGGTGAATTTGTTTTTTTTTGTTAAAAAGTTCAAACTGTCTGCATTCATCGTTTTAAAGGATATGAGATATTTAAAGGAAACTATCAAAATCTGCTGTTTCCAGGAGGGAAGGTCCAGCTCAGTGTATGTGCTTGATCGTTTCAGATTGTTCTTTACGCTGCAATGTTTGGCCTTGGTGGCTCCTGCATTTTCGGCTCCGCTAGCCGGTAAGTCGCCCATTTCTCCGTTGTCCTCCTTCTTCACATATCTACGCGAAAACTCTTCATCCTGACTCTCTCTGGGCCGTGTGGCTCCTGCAGAGTTTTACATTACACCGTGTCCTTTCCAATCCCCAAAGCTTCCTCTTCACATATCGGAGCTCCCTGAAAAGGCCCTTCACGGGATACCTTCCCGATAAAATGTGGGAGGTTCGTACTGTGACTGCTAGCTGAATTTCTCTGCTCTGCTCCTCTGAGATCAGTCTGTAACAGGAGCTGCTGCCTATCCATAGCTCTCAATAGGTTTTGTTCATTTGTGCCTGATGTGCTAGCTAAAGGCTTGCTGGCCAGAGAGGGCCTTTCACACAGACTGTGGCCACTGCCGTGTGCCACATTCACACAGATGGAATCCTTTCCATTGGCCCTAACGCTGTTACATGCCTCTATCAACCTACAGGCATTATGACGTAACAAAGAGCCGTATCTATACCTGAAAATGCAGCGTGCACAGTGATGAGGTGATTTCTTGGTTAGACTGTAACTGTAAAAGGGTCACTCAGTATGCCATAACAAAGGGGTGACCCACTAACATATACCACACTATAGCTCAGCCAATGAGATAACGTATGACATCATAAAGGAATCACCCAATGAGATGTATTCCATTAAAAAGAGGTCACATAGTGACATATATGACATCATAGATTATTATAATGTTTGTCACTCACATACCTTATGTATGAGATTTTGGACTCATGACATCATATCATATTGGGCCCCCAATTAATTACAAATTTTTAGGCCCCCTGTCAATTCTTCTGATCCCCTCCTCCCTTTAAGGTTTTGGACTGGAATTGTCCTAATTTCCTACCACCACTAATGCACGTATGATCTGATAATGGGGTCATGCAATCAATTTAAATGTACTGCACCGGTAAAGGCAGTGTCCCTGGGGCAAGTCAGTCTCTCTGTACTGGTGAAACAAGCTCCTGCATTACCTTAAATTAAGGGGGGAGATGGGGGGGGGGGATTGTAACCCCCCCAATAATCAAAGCTGGCCAATACAACCCCCCCCAGGACCCCCCTATATGGGTGGAGATTTCAACCCCCCCCCCCCCCCCCTGCCCTCAATATTATGCCCATGTGCTCCCAGCTCACAAGAACAAAACAGGAGAACAAATAAGCAAGCAAACAAATTAAAGTAAATAACACAAAATTAGATATAGTCTCCAGTATAAACTGGGAGAGGGAAAGCATGCATATACTGATCAGTCTAGTCAAGGTGATTTTACTCTAATGTACTACTCCAATGGCTGCCCATATTTACTCCAAGAAACAGCAGGAATCCAATTCAAACACAAGGCTGCCACGTTTTTAGGAGTAAAAACGACATTTACAAACAGTACCGCAAACACTGCTTTTTCCGTGTAACAAGATAGAATGAGAAACGGGCCCTGTTATTAACTTCCAGGTGTGGTGGACGTCTCCTCCGGGAAGTCAGATGTGACAGGTAAGCTAAGTCAAAGATTCCCGTTTGCTACATTTTAAACCCAAAGTGCAAAGATTTCACCACTTTCTGAATTCTGGTCAGGGATTGTTATTTACAGGCATGGATTCTGTTTATATTCTATACCAATTAATAACATTTTATTAATGCATAATAATGCTGTGGCTATTTTCTCTTTGAAATGCATACATCAACTTCATGTTTTTAGCAATGACTATTTGGGCTGAATATATTCTCAATAGCATACTCTAGTAAAGTCACACAGAGATGACAATGCCTGAGAGTATGACTTCCTGCAAGTTGCTTCTAAAGAATTTGTCCGGCACATGAGCCCAAATCTGCCGCAGTGAAATCAGTGACAAGGCATAAGCATAAAGTATGTTAAATTAAAACAATAGGAAATGTTTTTTAAACTTAAAAAGTTCCACTGAAGTACCTCTAGGTGAATTGAAGATTGAGATATATTACTGTGCAAAAGGCTTAGGCGGTCAAAGAAACTATCTAAAGCTATTTATCTGGGTAGTAATCGTATATAGCTCAGAAAAAAAACACAATTTAACATTAGAAGATATGCATATTAACAGTAACAGTAATAAAAACTAACAGGGATTTCTTCTGTTCTCCAAAGAGTTACTGATATCCAGTTGGATGGCTAGATGAACGCCGCTTTCAGTTACCAAACCTCTCCTCAGGGGCACCTCAGCCATTGAATTTCACAACAAGCTCAATTAATCAATTAGCTTGATTAGTTAAATAACTCACTGAAGTATTGATTAGCCAAACAAGGTGTGTTAGTGGTCCAGTCAAAAACTACATGGGTGTATTGGGTGGTTACTGGAAATACTGGGGTGACATTAGGAGAGGTTTTAAATGACTAAGCTAATACAGTTTGATAGATGTAACATCATAGCTTTATGGCAACATGAACATCATTTAAACATCATTTTCATGCTGCCTAGGACTTTAGCACAATACTGCATGTATGAATTAGTTATGCATTATTATATCTTTTATACATGCAGTATTTTAATATCCAAGTGGGAGAAGAGCATGAACAAAGATTTTTAATCTTTAGTCCTATAATATTCCTTCCTGGTTTGAAACAATGTGAGAGTTTAGGTCATGACATCATGCAGAGTCCTTCAAAGGTAAAATCGAAACGTTTTCAGTTAGCCTTTAATGGTAAAGCTGATGTAATCAGTTAGTTCATTTTAAAAAATTGCCAGAAGGAGGCATACTTACGATAAAAATATAATTTGCAGTGTTCCCTTTATTTTGTTGAAGGCGTATGCCTCAAAATCTTCAGACCTTTCATATTATTATGTGTTTTTTCATTGGTTGTAAAGCTTCTGTTTTTAGATTAATCACGTGACAGGGACTCTGCATGTTGAGTATCTGCAAGTATATGTACATGTGGTATATGCCATTAACCACCAAGTTGTGCAATTTAAAAAATCGCTCTCACAAACATCCCACAACTTATAACACAATTTACTCTCTTGACTTTTTGCTGTCTGTGAATCTAGCTTTGAAAGGATCAAAATTCAGATTGTACTTGCTTGCAATTAGTATTTTTGTTGGAAATGAATAATCTGTACATTACAAGTTTAAGTTAAACCATTAGACAAATATTAAAGTATAGTTTATTCTCACAAACTTGAATTTAAAAAAAAAAAAGTTACAATGAATCACATTTTTTTGTGTAGAGCAACTGTAACTATGTAAACTTTTAGATATGTAAAATTATGCCCATGATGGGTTTTTTTCCAACCATTTTCCCTACGTGAGTAGCCAAAAATAGAAGAACACAAAACTAGATATTTTTTTTATCTTTCAACTTCATTACATGTGATACATAATCAATCAATTGGCATGATAAGATATATACTTTTGCTCAATTTTTGGTCATCTCCGTAACTCTTGCCATGGATTTGATTAAATATTTATGTTTAATACCACCCTAGAGGCCAAATTAACAGTTAAACAATAAAGTTTAACTATATGTATAATTTGAATCTGTCTACAAACTAATTTCAAAAATGAACGAAATCCATATGTTACAATAAGGAGTTCACGAAAATGAACCTAAGTTAATTTTACATTAATTTAAGGATTGTGTAAATATTTATGATTGTAAGTTTTAATGTTAGGCCAGAGTAATCATGATTAATCACAGATCACTGTGCAATTAATTCATTAAATTTATTGTGAAATGTATTGCCAAAGATACTTACACCTACAGTCAATAGCATCTACAGTCAATAAAGAGATTCTACATTACTTATCTGAACCTGAGCATATGTGAACAATCCTTAATTAGACAAGTAACAGGCTAAAAACTAATGGTCTGAATCTCTTCCAAGTCGTTAAGAACAATTATCTGGTCTTTGAAGAAATCCACTCTTCAGAAGTTACAGGTAAGGTTTCATGTAGATAGAATAGTGTAGGTAGTTTTAAGCACTTCCCATAAAGTGTAAACCTGACCGTTGAGCATGAGATTCTTACTGATGTGGTCCTATGATTTTTTGCTGACATCAGGAGCAGATGACCATACTGGAGATGAATCTTCACATCGTAAGTTTGTGTCCAAATTCATGAATATTAACAAATATGCAGGTCTAGTCAATCTCTCTGTGCCATGTCTGTCTTTCTGGATATGTACCTGGGCCTAGGAAATGTGTTCTGTCTTATACGTTTCAGATTCTGACAGTTCACACCATGACCATGACAACAAACATGAAAGTATGGATCATGACATAAGTCATAGCCATGACAGTGACAGTCACCGTGACAGTGACAGCCACCATGACAGTGATGATCATCATCACAAGAGCAGTGAGGAAAAGGACCACAGTGACAGTCACCATGACAGTGACAGCCACCATGACAGTGACAGCCACCATGACAGTGACAGCCACGATGACGATCACCATCACAAGAGCAGTGAGGAAAAGGACCACAGTGACAGTCACCATGACAGTGACAGTGACAGTCATCATCACAAGAGCAGTGAGGAAAAGGACCATAGTGACAGGCACCATGACAGTGACAGCCATCATGACAGTGACGATCATCATCACAAGAGCAGTGAGGAAAAGGATCACGATGATAGTCACCATGACAGTGATAGCGACAGCCACCAGGACAGTGATAGCAAACATCACAAGAGCAGTGAAGAAAAGGACCACAGTGACGACAGTGATAGTCACCATGACGATGACAGGAAACATCACAAGAGCAGTGAGGAAGATGACCACAGTGACAGTCACCATGACAGTGATGATCACCATCACAAGAGCAGTGAGGAAAAGGACCACAGTGACAGTCACCATGACAGTGACAGTGACAGTCACCAAGACAGTGATCATCACCATCACAAGAGCAGTGAGGAAAAGGACCACAGTGATAGTCACCATGACAGTGACAGTGATAGTCACCATGACAGTGACAGCCACCAGGAGAGTGACAGTGACAGCCACCATGACAGGGAAAGCAAACATCACAAGAGCAGTGAAGAAAAGGACCATAGTGATGACAGTGATAGTCACCACGACGATGACAAGAAACATCACAAGAGCAGTGAGGAAGATGACCACAGTGACAGTCACCATGACGATGATAATCACCATCACAAGAGCAGTAAGGAAGATGATCACAGTGACAGTCACCATGACAGTGATCATCACCATCACAAGAGCAGTGAGGAAAAGGACCACAGTGACAGTCACCATGACAGTGACAGTGACAGTCACCATGACAGTGATCATCATCATCACAAGAACAGCGAGGAAAAGGACCATAGTGACAGTCACCATGACAGTGACAGTGACAGTCATCATGACAGTGATCATCACCATCACAAGAGCAGTGAGGAAGATGACCACAGTGATCATCACCATGACAGTGACAGTGACAGTCACCACCAAAAGAGCAGTGAGGAAAAGGACCACGGTGATAATCACCATCACAAGAGCAATGAGGATGATGACCACAGTGATAGTCACCATGACAGTGACAGTCACCATGACAGTGACAGTGACAGTGACAGTCATCATGATGATGATCATCACCATCACAAGAGCAGTGAGGAAAAGGACCACAGTGATAATCACCATCACAAGAGCAATGAGGAAGATGACCACAGTGATAGTCACCATGACAGTGACAGTCACCATGACAGTGACAGTCACCATGACAGTGATAGTGACAGTCACCATGACAGTGACAGTCACCATGACAGTGACAGTGACAGTCACCATGACAGTGACAGTCACCATCACAAGGACAGTGAGGAAAAGGACAGTGACAGTCACCATGACAGTGATCATCACCATGAGAGTGACAGGCATCATGACAGTGACAGTCATCATGACAGTGACAGTGACAGTCATCATGGCAGTCACAGCAAAGAGAATGGTGGGGACTCCGAAAATGGCCATGATCACGATGACAGCAATGAGCTGGAGCACACAAGTAAACCGCACAGGAGCACCACGGAAAGCCATTCTACTGGTATGTGCTCAGTCAGTGTCACATGACTCCACAGTGTCACATGATTCAGCAACACATACAACCCATGTTGTCAGATACTATCATTTGGAACCACTCCATTTATCAACATATTTCTGACCATTACATGAAATCCATCCATCCATCCATCTATCCATCCATTCATCCATCCATCCATCCATCCATCCCTTGTCTAATCGCTTATCCTGGTCAGGGTGACAGGTTTCTTCCTGCAGTCCAAAGACTTGCAGATATTGCATAAAATGATTTGTACAAAATGTAAAAACAAATAGTCTTGCATTCAAAATTGGAATTTCTTAATCATTTTCTAATATATAATTCAGTATAAAACTTACGGAACAGGGTTTTTGTGCTCCTGCAGGCTAAATCATAAAATTACTGCCAACTGTCTGTTCTAGTCTCATATGAGACAAAAAATTGCCCTGAGCTCAAAAAATTGACATTGATCACCAAATGTTTGAACTAAATTGTAAATCAGGCGTAAATATTTTATTTTGTCTTTGTGTCTTTAGAAAAAAAAGGATCTATAATTGTCTCTCTCAGCATTGGCTCTGCCCAGATTCACCAGAATATCTCATGTTTGTGATAGAGATTTCAAACAAAACAAGAATATGCTTAATATTCTTAATAATAATAATAATAATAATAATAATAATAATAATAATAATAAAATTGTGGACATAGTCTGGATGATTTATGATGGACTGTAATGTCCATGAATTATCTCTGTGTCTCATTGACAGCACACAGAGTCCAAATATGTGTGACAATAGTCCAAAGTCACACGACCCGTAACATCCTTCCACTGTGCATTGATCAGCTGTACTTTCGTTTGTCTTGTACTGAATAAGAGGAAAGTGCTGGAGATAATGGATCAGCAGCCTAAAGAATGTACGTGGAATAAAAAAGATGAGTTTAAATGCTGTGACAGAGATACATTGACTGACAGCAAAGGCTCGCAACCGGTGAAGTCTTTTGCTCTTTATTTTATTAGGCGTTACTGATCAACATGGTGAGCACGACCATACAGAAATCACCACACACAGCCCCTCCCATGGTAAGGCCATGCGCTCTCAGGCTGACTGTCCTCTGGTGCGTCCGCCTTCAGACTTGCACAGCAGCTCCTCCCCCCAATTAGTCCATTTCCAGTGCAGACTCTGTCAGAAACACCACAAACTACGGCACAATACAGATACCTAGAGCAATACAGTGTAAGAAATGTGCATAATTAGCAACACATTACATTGTGTGACATATTCCAGAGGGACACAAAAGAGGGTCCAAAATCTTTAATCATTTTGGTAACACTTTACTTGACAGGGCACAAATAGTATAGTACTATGCTATTACTTATGTATTAATTAACTACAAACTAAGTCTTAGTTACCTACTGATTTCATGTTAATTTATTATTAATAAATAGCGATGCGTGTTTTATCTCAAGTAGTTACTGTATTTGTTACTGTTAATTCTGTGAAGCTTTATGGACTACTGAAGGGAAATACTGATATATTTGTTCATTAATGAATCGTAATGCATGTTTTATCTAGAGTAGCAACTATATTTGTTCATGATTTGTGCATAATTTGTAGTTCAGGAGAAACTGAGTTATTAATAAGTATTTGTGGCCCATCAAATAACGTGTTACCACAATTTGTTTAGCCACTACGGCCTCTGTAACTGTACCCTTTCTCTGTTTCCGCCTTATCAGCCTAAGTCTGAGTGGCCAGGAGACACAGCGGGATCCTGATCGATCTACAGGTAGCTTACAATTCAAATACGATAAGCAGGAGTCCGAGCAGGTCCTCTCGTGTCCCGACCGCGGTGCCGCTGCCCTTCACCTGAGAACTGAAATGACTTGTTCTCTCCCACAGATGTGTACTGAAGGTCACAGACAAGAATCTGACCCTACGCAGCTGGATTTCCACGACGTGAAAACTAGAGGAGTATACACAATCTCCTTCGTAATCCTTGGATCTTTCCTCAAAAACACAAGGAACATGTTTCTCTAGGTCTATGGGGAATTCTCAAATGATTCCACTTTTAATGCACATTTTAACAGAATTCTTTCAACATGTGACAATCGGCTAACTCATGGCAAAAAAAAAAACAAAACAAAACTACAGATTTACCCAGGTTATCATTTTTATCTTCACTAATTGGTTAAAAAAAAATCTGTAAAACCAAGAAAGTAAAAAAAAAAATGTGTTACCATTGCACATATGGACTGAATAGTTTCTGAAAATCACTCGATTGAGTTTTCTAATAATTCCTTACAATATGTTTTGTTGCTGTACAGCTGTCACGCCTTAGCAAAACCAGTTACTGCAGCAACGGACTGTCATACTGACCACAGAGTTGATGTTTCCTGAGTGTGAATGTCAGGCAGACCTTCTAGCACGGGGATTTTGGATGGGGCTTTTAAATGATTCCTTTTTTTCTTACTTTAAAACCAGTTTTGGGAAAATATCTCAAATTCTAGTTTTTATTGCTGTAAGGTGTGTTAAATAATTAGAATCTTTTAATGGCAGTAACATAGATCACAAAGTCCTTTCTCAAACGTGTATAGTGAATAAATTAAATAAAACCTGAGATGTCAGACAAGTTCAAGTCTTGGTGTTTTTACGGCCAGGTAAGAACACAGTGGGTATGGTGCTGTGTGTGGAGGTCAAAGTGGATACAGGGCTGATATATACAGAAGCAAATAAGATTGAAACTGAAAAGCCCACTTTCTACCAAAATGAAGAGACATTTACTTCCCAGCATTCCACGTATTTCCTCAGTCCATCTTCCATGACTACTTCTCCAGTTTTGATAAATTTGTATCCTGTCCTGGGAAGAACAGGGCACAGGGCCGGGTACAGCCGGAAGGGTTTTGGCATTTTTACTTTTTTGATTGCAGTCAAAGATTTTGTGGGGACCTGAAAATGGTCCAGACAACATCAAAATAACAAGTTTTTATCACGTTGTGGGGAACATTTAGTCCCCACAATATAATATAAACATAATCCACACACCACACACACACACGCAAGCATGCGCGCACGCGCAGACACACACACACACAAACAGGTTGTGTCTTTGTGTGGACTCTCCATTCATTTCTATGGAAAAGCCCTAATCCCAACAATGACGACCTTAACCCCTATCCAGCCCTAACTTTAGCCATCAGTAACTAAACAAAATATGAAACTTTCGGCATTTTTAGTTTTTTGAGTGCATTCACAGATCTTTGTGGGGACCCGACAAATGGTCCCCACAACATAAAAAAAACTGTTTTTTATTACATTGTGGGGGACATTTGGTCACAAAGTAATATAAACCTAATCCACATGCACACACAAAATTTAACCACCCATTTGGTTAATCGCAGGAGGAAGCTCATGTAAAAGGCGATAAACATGCAAACCCACACCCACAGTGCGAGGATTAGAACCCCATACCCTGTAGGTGTGAGGCTGCAGTACTCCATAGCAACCTACCGCCTATCCAAACTCATCACCTTTTGAAATGTAGCTATAATCTATTATATCCTTCAGTAACATTGGGACTGCACCCATTAAGGCACCACATGACTGACTGGTGACCATTTAATTTTCATTGTGAACTCTTGAAGTCACCAGTACAATGTGTTGGGTGGAAGCATGATCTTACGGCTAGCACCAACGCATGAGTAGTGCCCTATAAATCTGACACCCACACCTTCTTTATTTGTATATAATTCTTCCTGGAGACAATATCCAACAACACACAGGACGTTTTAACTGCTGCCCCATCCCATGAAGACTGCAAAAGAAGATGAAGATTTGAACTCAAACATCTCAAGGAGATCTGATGAATTATCAGAAACGAAAAGTCATAAAAATCTGCATGGCTGCTAACTTTCAGTGCTAAATTGAGGTATGAGAAAATAGCACATCTGAAAAATCCTGAGTCAGATCATCAGGGTTTGTATTCAGCCTTGGCCCCTGCAGTATAGTGGCTTAGGCCATGAACTCATGACCCAAAGTCCCAAGACAGTGCTGGAGTCACAACCTGGACACCGCAAACCACTTGGCTGTGAAAATTCATGAAGATAAAAAGTCACACCAGCAGAGCAAGTCAATCCTACATATTCCTGACAATCAGTCAGTAACATGTGGGTGAAATCCTTGAAATCCACTCCAGCAGTCATATTCAAGGTAGCACTTGTGCTTCTAAGAACCAAAGTAATGTACTTTTGATGATGATGATACTTTTATTATATGAAAACTTGATTACTTTAATTTTTGCTATCGGAATGCATCCACATCATGTTAGATGCATTTGCAATTTAATTTGTCAGGTGTGAGATATATTGTGGAACTGTAACAGAATTGGTTATGTGTAGCTTAGAAAGGAATGTGTGAAACAAGGGGAATGATGAAGCACTGAAAGAGTATGTTTAAGTATATAAAGTATGTGAATCAGCTGATATGATATTAGTCTCTCAAAAAAGGGTAACAATTTGTACCTTTGCATGTCACTGGGGCTGTACCCTTGTAATTGTACCTTTAAAGGTTCAGAAATGGACTCTGAGGAACATCCCAAATGTACAAACAGCATTAATGTACCATCAATGGCACAGAAATGTTCCTTGGTCCATTTCTGTGCCTTAAAAGGTACATTTACCTACAGCTAAGGGTACAATTGGCAGACCCTTGAGGCTACAGCCCCAGTAATAAGCAAAGGTACAAATTTCTACCCTTTTTTCTGAGAAGGTTGCTGGTTCGAATCTTGTAAATGCCAGGAGTGATTCTCCTGTGTTGGGACCTTGAGCAAGGCGGTTAACCTGCACGTGCTTCATCCTGGGTATGACGTTAATCCAAAACCAGCCCTATAAGGAGGTCCTCCAACTTACAGGGAAAATTTGGTGGTTGGTGGCAGGATTGGCACTCCAGTCACTGTTCCATTCGGACTTGGGTGGTGCTGAGGTATCACCGGCTGCAGGGTTGCACTCAGGCTCTCATCCCTGAGCTGGTTTGTCGTGTGGTGGTGCAGGAACGCGCTATAATCAGTGCATCCTTACCATACCTGTGTATGAGGAGGTAGATGTAGAAAAAATATGTTGTGATATATTGGCATGGGTATGGAAAGCATGAAATTAACTTTAATTAAGTTTTAGCAAATTGAATCTGGCTGTGAGTAAGTAGTATTGCGTGAGAATGTAGTATTAGAAGTAGTGCTCAGCATGATCATATACTCATGGATATACCTAGAAAGTCTGAAGTGTGTGACCAGGGCTGTACGCAGCCAAAAGCAACATCCTGAATCACAGTGACACAAAAACAACACCCGCAGCAACCCGACTGTGCAGTCTGCCCGCATGAACGATCGCATCGGCTAGGCAGTTCACCTCCTTGCGCAATAAGTTATTCCTGTGATTCCTGGAAGCCGAATGATTTCACTTGTTTCCTGCTCAGTCACAATAATTGATATTTGTCTAGGGGATGGTGGCGCATTTCTTGCGACGAGACACGACCGCTTTCTCTGGCCAGGATATTATCCACGGACAGCTACGGAGTGCCGTAAGCAGCGATGGAAACGCAATTTCCTGAAAACAAAGCAGTAAATCTGTATTGTAAAGTGGCCAAGTGCTAGGCATAGACAAAAACTATTGCATAGCCTGACACATTATGTTAGACAAATTTAATAAAACAAATACAAATATAATTTATATTTTGAATTACGTTAAAGTTAAAGTAAAATGCAAAGGCCTTAAATCAACAGAGGGAGGAGAATGTCTTTAATATTTATGTTCTGTTGCAGACAGTCTGTGATAATGGTACATTTACCACACATTCCTGTTTGCAATGGGGTCTGGAGAACTCTGCTCCAAAACAGCCAGTTAATTTCTTTTTATACTTTTCCATTAAGGTCTAATGGCAAAACATCCCATAGTATGAGGGAGGAGGAGGATCCTCTGGGGCAATGGCACACTGAGGACAAAGCTGATTTGTGCATTGGCCACAAACAACCTTTTTGAGGACTTGTTTCACTTTGAAATTGCCCGAACCCCTCCCCCCCTTCCCTTTGATGTTTTCCGTGTGGCTAGATATCTAATGGCAACTGGAAAGGACTGGCCCAAATCCTCTCACAAGGGGGGTTTCCACGGCCTGCGGTAGGCCGGACCCAGTGGGTCCTGGCTGCACTGTGGAGACATCAACCTTCCAGTGAATGGAGCAGTGCTGCAGGCCAGGTCGCTCTGCTCTTAGCTTGAATTCTGTAAGGATGCTTTCAGTCTAATTAGTAAGGCCAATGGCAAAGTTCATATATTTCCTTACATTGCTATTATTCGGCCAAACAAAACGTAGAATCTTGATAGAGATTCCATTGTAAGTAATGTCCATGCCAGGAAACTGAAAATTTATCAGACACCAACACTTTGGTCTCATTTTTCTCATTTTCTCTACTGTGTAGCAATAATAAAATAAAGAACTTGGTAAAGATGTGCAAAGAGAACCCAGGAACAGGATTCCCTCAGTAGCTGGTTGAAGTAGACTAGATCGCTTGACCCCTAGAAGCTGTTAACGGTGCTTAAATTTCTGTACACTCTTCAAAAGGCCCACGGTTCAACTTCTGCTCGAGTTACAAATAAACTGAGCCCAGTGGTCCGGACCCTGCATGAGGAAGCAGGGGAGGCACATCGAACAAAAACCCCAAACAGCTCCTAACAATGGCCTGGCTCCTGCCAACAGAAAGGTCATATTTATGGCTGTATGCGAATGGCAGGTCATCTCAGACCAGACCGACGAGAAGCTGAAGGGCGGCTGCCTCCAGTCTCCAAATGCGAGGCCACTGATGCCTGACCCGGCGGTGCATTAGCGAGCCCGGTCCACTTTCTCAGAGCAACGGGACGGCCGGCACGCAGCCACAGAAATATTATACTTTAATCCAGGATGCGTGGGTTTCATGCTCACACCAGCCGAAAGTATGATATCTGTGAGAAAACAAGCGCTAGCCTTAACGGAAAAAAAACAAAACAAATGTTTGCTAGGATTTCTGGATTTCTGCTCATTTCCTGACCTGTGCAAAATATAAAACGGCAAGAATAAGGGCGGACATTATGATAACTTGGACCATATTTACGAGTCACACAAAGTTTCCCTGATCTTAGATGGAGATGGTGAAACTGAACCGAAAAGGCAAGGGCTCAAGTAGCTTCAAATGGCAAAATGGCCAAACTTGCCAGATGACCTAGAAGAATCTCCTAAGCAGGAACTGCTCATGGAAGAATAGGCTATTGCAATGCCTTTAATGCCTCCTCATCATACAGCCATACCTTTAAATGCATCCAAATTGTTCCCACCTACCATTGGTTATACCCCAAGATCTCCTCCTTGTTAACTTCTAGAAAAGTCTTTTGAAAAGCCATAATGCATTAGATCAAACACTATGCAGCCCTTGCTATTGCTTGCAACGAGAGCTGTATAGCATGGAGATGTTACCCATGATATCTCTGGCGTGGAAAAGGCAAACGAACAAATGAACGTTCATGTAAATCAACATGGACCAAGGTTCACCCATAGATGATCTATGAAGTGCATTAAACAAACCTTCTCTTAGAAATGATATTAGGACAAGAGAATATTCACAGCAATTTATGGTTGGCCGAGAATTCATTAGCAAAAACAACAATGAACTCACAGATGAGTGGAATTGCGCTGTTATGGAGATGTGGGTGTTATATAAACTGACCACAGGCCACATCGATTTTATCATGGTGATTACTGAAGGAGGTTCATAAATAGATCTTGAGTAGCTAAATACTGTAAAATACAAACAGTACTCTTGGCACAGAAGAAACTCCTTATAACTTAAATAAGTGAATACTTTACCTCATATAAGTACTCTAACTGCCTATCTGACTTTATACTCTGCAGTTGTTCCCAACAGCAGGTAATTATAGGTGAGCCTTGGAACAAATCTGTCTGCAATTTCATAGATTGTGTTTCTCAGTGAAATGAGCCTTTTATGATCATAGGGGGCTGGTGACCTTAAAAGCCTCAGCAGACCCTGGGATCGGCCTGAGATCGTGAAGCAACCTGAGAAGGTAGCTGGAATTTGAATGAAGAAATCTGCGGGTAAATAGCGTGATGATAAAATGAAGAATGAAAATGGCGAGAACAAGAGGGGGAACCCTTTGTCTAACTGCTCTCAAGTTTTAAGGTGTGTTCCTTTCCAGCGTTGAAACCTCCTAAGAGGAGATAAGGCCTCAACCAACAGATAACACACTGATTGTAAATAGTGTTAGCTAGTCTCACTAGCTATGATTTGCTTTAAGCAGGGTTGATAGTCCAAATGAAAAATATGCAATGCAATATCACAGAATATAGAATACTTTTCTTGGGTAGTTCACAAATATCCTTTATGATAATGGTCGGTTCTAGTAAGAATTAAGTCTGCAGGTATTTTATCCATAGCACCTAGATTAAACAGCTATGAGGACATAACATCAGAATGGTCAGCTTGTAGTTCACTCTATCTACTGTACAAGTTGGCCATTGCCAGCAGAAGGACTCTGGGATAGTAAGCTCTTTAAATCCAACCTTGACCCTTAGGCAGGAGTAGGACATCCTGTACCTACTCGCTATATATGGCAGATCAATGAGGACAGTTTTCATTAGACATAATCCTGAAACATGCTGGCCCAGAAACTCTGCACGAGCCAGTCGGCGCATGAGTTGGACGGCCTGGCCATCGCAAGGGCTTCTAATCTCGTCACCCAAGGCTGCCTCTGCTGCTATGGTTTCACTCCATAACAAGAACTCATTGTCTCAGTGCAGAAACCCAGGAACCTAAAGGATGTGACATCGGTAGGGCTAAAAGGAATCTTGGCAAGTCACTAAGGGGTCAATAACACACGATAATGCAGCCTTTCTATATGTCCTCCTCCTCAACTCTGTTATTTTGATATAAAATAGAGAAGGAGCCCATAGCTTTGGGCGGTTTCATCTGGTCCCACCGGCTCCTGGGCGGACAGTTTCTCAAGATGTGTTTGCTACTGCAACCTTGAGCATAAACTTAACCTGCAGATCTCGCAAGCATGAGCGCCAAAGGCTACGTCGAGCCCACGTTTACATTCAAAGGGAAAACAAGGGCAGTCAGTGGCCTTAAAGTTTTTAACTTGTCTGTTTTGTAGCTTTTCGAGGAGAGCCTTGAACCTTGAACCTTGCCGAGTGCTGGTGTTCCAACGTCGACGAAACAGAGGGAGTGAAAGGCTGACATGCGTTGGGGTGTTTTAATTAATGTTTAAGTCACCAGTGCATTCAGTGTATTACCTCCTATGCAGCCATAGAATTTCATCTGGGAATTTAATTACCTCCATCACATCATGCTATCTAGATGTATAATGAGTGAAGAAAGAATACAAGACCCCTTGGAAGAATGCCATCCATATGGTTGCCAGGAGTTAACATCGACTTGACAGCACCTAATAACAATGTAATTGCACCTATGTGCAGCGCTGGTAGAGAAAATGCAGTAGTAATTTTGACAATAAGTTTCATATGTTGTGAAATAAAAACATCATTCAATATCAATAACAAACAGGAGCTTTATTCAAAAGGAAAATGAAAGAATGTTAAATTTTAATGTAAAAAACCAATGCCCATTAAAAAACCTATACAATGATCTACCTCGTAAAGGATATTGTTAAAAATTATCAGGGAACATTTATTAAATGAACCTTAAGCATCAAAAAATCCTTTGAGCCCAAATGAGAACACACATGGTTGGCATACTAAGCCTAACCTTACCCTTAACCTTAATCCTAACCCTAACCCTAACCGCATGTACTGTAAATGAACAAGTTACATATTAGGAAAAATCATTGTAAGTATGGTATCACTTGAAATGTCTTTTTTTATGGAAATCTTTATATCCAACTTGGTCAGGGTCGTGAGGGGGATCAGGAGCTTATCCCAGGTAGCACAGGGCACAAGACTGGGGTACACCCTGGGTGGGGTACACCCTGACTGGGGTATATCCTGCCTGGGGTACACCCTCGGTGGGCTACACCCCAGCTTGGGTACACCTTGACTGGGGTACACCCTGGCTGGGCTACACCCTGACTCGGGTACACCCTCGGTGGGCTACACCCCAGCTTGGGTACACCTTGACTGGGGTACACCCTGGGTGGGCTACACCCTGACTCGGGTATACCCTGGGTGGGGTACAACCTGACTGGGGTACACCCTGGGTGGGCTACACCCCAGCTGGGCTACACCCTGACTGGGGTACACCCTGGCTGGGCTACACCCTGACTGGGGTATACCCTGGGTGGGCTACACCCCAGCTGGGGTACACCTTGACTGGTGTACATCCTGCCTGGGGTACACCCTGGGTGGGCTACACCCTGACTGGGGTACACCCTGGGTGGTGTGCCAGTCCATAACAGGTTCCCTGTAGTTATTTTATGAAAATGTACAGTATGATTGGTGTTTTGATGAAATGTTCTCACAGAAACAGATGAGTACATGATGAGGGTGAGAGAATAATGCAGTATGTTCAGTATGTTAGTTAGTCTCACTAGAAAATAAAAGGCCTAATTTTACAATGAATACCTACAATTATGATTTTATCACACTTTTCCATTTTAGACTTAACATCTCATTATTATGAACTGCCTTCGAAATATTTTAAAAAGCCCAGTCCAAATATCTGACAAAGTCACTGTCCAGAATGCATAGAGTCAGGTGTTAGGTGGTAGGGTTTGCTTGGTGCTCGTCCGCTGGCCTTTAAAGCATTCACACCACGTCATGCCGCTGAACCTTGGGACAGGTCAAATGCAGCACCTGTCTCCATTTCACAGAGCTTCGACACTGTCATTAAGCAGGAAATGAGGGCATGTGGCTCACTTCCCGTCTCCCCAGGTGCAAAAACTAAAAGCAGGTTGCCTGTGCCCTCCACCGGCCGCCCACCTTAACTGTTGATCCCTTTTAGGGATCACGGGAGTCATTTAGTCCCAGGGGCTGGGGCCTTCACCCAAACCCCGCCCTTTCTCAAGATGGGCGGCTGTGAGAGTATAAAACTTATAGGGGTGCTCAATCAAGCATAAGGAAGTCAAAAATCTGAATGTTCCCTGCTCTATGTCCACACCAGGGCTGCCGACATAACAAAACCATGTTGTCTCGGTAAGTGAACAGTGACGGTTCTCTGAACAGCACGTTATCTGTAACCAGGTCAACGAGCAGATTGTGGGGTTTATGAAGCAGGCAAACCATAATTAAATCAAGTGGGGGGGTTGCGTTTCTTTGTCCTGATGGGTATTATTCACCTGAACAGGGGAGCATTGATATGCCTTTCATGGCTTCTAAATTTAAATCATTTAAAAATTGTTTTTTTTGGCTAAAAGTTATGATAATAGTACTATTGTTTTGAAGTATTTTACAATCATTAAAAAGTGTGTGTTAATTCAAAATAAGTTCAACTGATATTTTTGCATCATATTATAGGAAAGATTTGTACAGGCCGCTAACAAGTTTGTCAATAATTTTCATTGCAATGGAAGTGAATATCCTCTCAATAAATATGTATGTTATACATGTATGGTTTGTGAATGCTTATGGTTAATGAATTAATTTTTTGATCATCGTTATTTTGCATTATAATTAGGATAATATCCATTCTTTTCATGCTGTCATTAATGTAATGCATTTCAAAACATTTATTAAATTTGTAATATAAATTTATCCATTTTTGATCCCACTTTTTCATTATAGGGTTGCAGTGTAACGTGTCACATAAATCAGTCAAGATGTTGTAATTGGATTTTTTTATATATTTATGTTGTCAATGAAGGAATAAAAAAGTCTTTAAATGTCTCACTGGTAATATTTTTAAAGCAAGAAACAAGAATAATTACAGCCATTATTTGCCTCATTAAATAAATGCAGCTTTGCCAACATTCAAAAGTGTTTTAAAAATATATTGCCTTTAGCATTTTAGTGACTGCGCTCCCTTTGCCTTCCAGAAACGTTTTGATATTTTCAGCAGTGATGTGTTTGGCAGCGGTTACGGCAGCTGCTCCTGTTGAAGGTAGGAAAGTGTTCAGTCATAAATGGTTGCGCTTTCCATGAATCTGCATGTTCCTCTGCGTTCTTTGTGAGCAGCAGGCAAGGAAGAGCATCTAATCTCAGGGATCCTTCTCAAACGTTTATTAACGTGAAGGCTTCTGTTCCATCTAATCGGCTTAATAAGGGCATTGACTGAATTGTGACTATGATTTGAAATATTTGAATGTGTTAATGAAAAGATAAGTTGTTTTCTCTTTTGTCACACATGTTAAACTGTAACACTTTGGTCTATAAAATATGTTGTTAAATAGCCATTTTTAATTAATGTATTCTTGTCTTGAAAAATAGACAAAAGATTGACTTGTTACCTATAGTTATGTAATTAAGTTAATGAAATACTTGGGAGCTACTTAGCTGTAATTTTTCCAAAATTCACTTTGAATGATTGTCTATAGTGTTTAGAGGATTTGTATCTTGCAAAGTAACTGAGGCTGGCTGGAATGTGGCCCAGTCTGAATGATTGCCTGGGCTGGGACCAAGGAAGCCTTTAGAGAAACGTTCTGTGTGGGGCTCACACTTCACGGACAAGGGCGAGGGGCTATCAGTGTCCCCAGCAAGTTCCAGTTTCTCCCCATCACTAGTGTTCCAGAGACCACATTGTTATACATCAAAATGCAATGAAAAGGTTGATTAACGATGGAAACAAAAAACTTCCTGGCACGGGACATGATTTTTCTAGCCTTATGTTTTATTTTCAGAGAAAGAAGCGGAGGAATCTGATATTGAACGAGAAGAGGGTGAAGAAGAGCTGTCTGAAGAGGAGGAAGGTAGGTGGAAAGTGTCCCACCCTGGGCTGCTGAGGTCTCAGCAGATCTAGACCACGGGCTGCGGTGGCTGGACCAGGCACCTGGATGTCAGTTTCTCGAGCGAAATGTAGCCAAACTAAACAAACGATTGCCTGGACTGACTCATGTTGACTGAAACATGGATAATGGACTTTTCAACATATGCAGCTTGTGCACATCGCTGCAAATATAAACAGGTCTGTAAAATATAATAAAATGATAGGAGTCAAATAGATATTATAAAATAAATATAACAAAATTTAAACAATTTGTAATTTGATTTGAATTTTTTAACGATGCATGATTTTGACTTTATGTTGAACAATGGATTAAATGCAACTTTACTATCAATAATATATTTTAAACTAAGTGTTTAAATACCATTTAAAATAGACCACACATTCAGATCCTGATCCAATACTCCTGCAGGGTGATTATACATTAACTGCTATTAAATTCTTTTTTGTGCCACACGCACATAATTTTAAAATTGACAGCAAATAAAGTAATAGTCGAAAAAGGTAATGGAATAACACGTCAGTTTGTTTTTTGAGTTATAACCCAGCAGTCTTACAAACTGCCAACACTTCTCCTCTACGCCTTTGCAACACGATCTTCAGGAAGAAGGAAACATGTGAACAGTTTATGAACTGTTATCAATTTCCTTTTTTTTCAGATGATGATGACTCCAATATTCAGGATATGAATATGGGTGAGAAGTTAATAACTTGCCACCAATATAAAGATGCTCTCCTTCTTTTAGCTATTCAAACAATGAAGCAATTGAGGTTTTTTAATGCCTCTTAGCAATGTAATCACTCATTTTTATTGAGAAAAATGAGCCCTGACTGAAAAACTTTACTTCAGATCACTCTGTTTTTCATTTTTTGGTTTATTTCATTATTGCATAGAATACCAATACCAAATATATTACTGCATTCAGAATTTATTGGACATAGAAAGAAATGGGAGACAATTCTATGCAAGCGTAGAATTGTGTCAGCAACACAACACTAATCGTAAAAACATTTCCATTGAATAAGAAGATACATAAAATAACTTTAAAAAGATGATAAAACAACAAACACATACTATAATTTTATAATATTTTACTCTAAATGTTTTAACTATTTTAATTTCAATTTTAACGTTTAATTTAATCAGGTTTTAAAATAAATTGATGGCAAAAATTTGGTTAGCCATGGACACAAATGCATGTGTTCCAGGAGAAACTTGCTTGGTTAATGAGATTGGAGGGAAACAATTGAGAAATAGTTGAAGATCCATATTTGACAAGTAGATGATGCCTCATTAACATGTAGATTAAGCAATTTGCTGGACAGTAGCACTTTTATTATGGTGTGATGTGTGACAGGTCTGCACAATGTCACAGAAAAAGCTTGATACGGTTTTTACAAACTCCGCATTTCCATCCAGTCTTTGAATTCCTGCAAGTTTCAAGTGTTATTTAAATGAGAATTAATCAATAATCCCATTCAGTACATGCCAAAAACATGACTAAAGGAACACTTTATAATGTGCATGAAAAATGATTTATTTTAATGTAAACAATGCATAAATACATACATAATTACATGTGTTAATGTAAATGAAGTAAAGCTTTATATTAAAAAACGAAATGCACTGGGAAACCACAGTAACTTCAAAGACTGGTAGCATGTGTTACAAACATTTATTGCCTTTTAAAAACAACAAAAGTTTTGTCGTTGTTTTCCGAAGAAAAGCACATAACTTACTGATGTTTGCGTGGCGACATGCCCCCCCCCCACAGGACATTCAATAAAATAGCCATTTGGTGCTGTGGGACATTATGGAAGAGATTAATAAATAAATAAATAAAAATCTTTCTCTCAGGAATTGGAGGTCGGCAACCTTCCACGGCATCAAAAGATCGGGGTAAGTTAAAGCTAATCCACTCTTAGCCTGAACAGGTCTTTTATTCACTGCAGCACAGGTCTTAATTGTAATGAAGGGCTCACAGTGTGCAGCTGAAGCTGGTGAAATTCAAGGTGGTAAGATTAACTTGGATTTTACTTTGGTAAACAAAAAAACCTCTCACACTGGAACCATTGTATAAAAGACGTGGTATGAGTGACCAGCTTACTGCTCTACAGAATCTAATTGTAAAGGGATAATTCCGATATACTTCTATGATGACTTTTCAAAGATCACGTATGTGGCAATATGAATCCTCATTTCTGAGAAATCCTGCATTTCTTTCAAGATCCATCTGGTCCACAAGAAGCCTCATTGGAAGGTGACCCTATAAACGGTAATAGTGGGACCTTCTGAAATTTTACTCTATGCCAAATGAATTCGTATGACGCATCACTGCCAGTCTATCACCTTCAATTTCATGCGAGCATAAGTTTCAGAAAGGTGTCGCTGTCTTTCTTTTGCAGGACAGAAACTGATTGGATCTAGACCGTCACATGGGGGCAGCCATGACGGTGAGTGTCAGAGACCTGTGACCTGTGGAGAAAGCAGATTGCCTTGAACAATTAGATAAGCATTGTCTCTCCCCACCAGTATCCGTCATGGACTCAGCTGTGGAGGAAGGAAATGGTAAAAAAATATTGTGCACACCTGTGCGGTATCCTACTCAAAAATCACACACACTCACGCACCTCGAGTGCTGATTCACCATTGAGCTTTCTAATCAGATACCTGCTCTCCACTCTGCGCTGTGTCTCTGCCGCAGGTGACAATGGGGCGGACGCACTAGCTCTGGATGCCGGCACTGCTTTTGACGGTGAGAAGGCCGGTCTCTCTCGATCCGTTGTGTCTCCCGTTCCCTCAGTTTTTCACAGTTTTCCAACATGCTGGTGTCATTGTTGCCAGGCGCGGTTGAACATGCCAGTATGGCCACTCAGCTGGAGCCCCCAGGTACCCCCCCCCAACATGCCACACCAAGCAGTAAGACCTACAACACCCACAGCTAGGGGACGGCCATACTTTCACAATAACGTGATTCATTGCCAAGTCTTAGCCATACATCTCCTCACATAATCAGGATAGCACTTTATTCACACTATTTTCCAAAGCTGAGGATTTTGCCACTTCTTTGCCAAACACCAGTGGTGTGATTTCCATCCATTCAGGAGGTGAACCAGGACATATTCCCAGCATGATGTCTGAGGTCCACATGTTAGCAGAAGGTGAGCGAAACTGCCCGAAAAGTCGTCCCTCTGCAGTAGCCGCAGTACCAGTCAAAAGTTTGGACACACAAGCCGCCTACAAAAGACAGTGACAGTGTTGCACCCCGTGATTTGGCCAGAGAGTGAAGTAAAGTGCTCAGCATATGTGACACCTCCTTCAGGACAGCTGGAAAAGCATCCCAGGAGGCCACCTCATAAACTTGTCACATAGGAGACAGTAGGGTCAGCCGGTCCCTGGAGTAATTGGGGTTAAGGGCCTTGCTCAAGGGCCTGATCATGAGATCACTCTGCCAACCCAGGGCTTTGAACCGGCAACCTTCTGTGTCCCATCCCACAGAGCTGTGTCCCAATAAATAATTTACTTTTTTTGGTCAGTGCACTATTGCACACATGTTATTTTATAGTTTTGGTGTCTTAATAATTGTTCTACAATGTAGGGAATAATACAAATAAACCTTTCTATTGGTAGGTGTGTCCAAACTTTTCACTGGTACTGGAGGTTACTGCTGTGTTGTGTTTTCCCTAAGAGCTGGGACCAGCAGGCCAATTTAAATCCCGGCAGTGAACCATTGAACCAGTAACACAACAAATCATATTCACTAGGCAGTCAAAGAAAATTATGGTTAAAGGATCTCATTGTTGGTGTTAAACTAAGATATTACACCTGTCAAAGTTTGCCAGCTTAGCCATTTCAAAACCTCCCCTAAAATCACCCAAATACCATCCTATACACCCATGCCTTTTTTGACTTGACCACTATGCAATCTTGTTTAGCTAATCAATACTTCATTGAGTTACAAATTTAGTCAATTAATTAAGTGAGCTAGCGGAGAAAACACATGGAATGGCTGAGGTGCCCCTGAGGAGAGGTTTGGGAACCAAAGCCGTGTTCATCTAGCCATCCAACAAGATTTCAGTAAGTTTTTGAAGAAAGGAAGAAATTATTGGTAATCGATTCACGTAAGGGGCAGAGTGGTGGCTCTGAGGCTAGGGCTCTGTGCCGGCACTTGGAAGGTTGCTGGTTTGAATGCCAGGAGTGATTCTACTCCATTGGGCCTTTGAGCAAAGCCCTTCACCTGCAATTGCTCTATCCTGAATGTGACGTTAGCCTACCAGCCCTGCAAGCAGGTCCTCCAACTTCCAGGGGAAACGGGGGGGGGGCAGTAGGATTGGAAAGCACTGGAAACTTCACACTGTTCCATTCCATTGAAAGTAGTGTGGTGCTGAGGTATTACCTACCGCACGGCTGCGCTCAGGTTCCCATCCCTGAGGTGGTTCCTCATTTCCTGGGTGCAGCAACGTGTCGTCATCGGCATGCGCTCCTTCCCTCATTCATGCAGCGTGAAAACTCTGGTGTTGATGCATTCTGTGGTTACTGACAGCATGTTTTGCATTCTGTTGAATTCCAGGGCCTCATCAAATGACACACCAAGCTGAGATATACTCCGCCGGTAGGTACAGAAGCTTCCAATGTTCGTTTTAGGCCAAAGCACAACAGTGACACTCACGCAAATGTTACTGTACACATACAGATATTGAAAGGACAGCATGATTTAGCTCAGATCGAATAAAACACGCACTAGGGTGACCTCAAGTGAGAAATCACAGTATGATTTCATTCAGATCAAATAAAACATGCACTCGGATGACCTCATCTGAGAAGTCACTGAAAAGACTGTTCTGTCTGAAAAGCCGGTCTCATCTTTTAGGGAGTGGACCCCCTTTGGGCTCCAGCTCTCATGGGGATCTTACAGGTGGGATCATTTATTAATGCTTGTCAGATATAGTGTTGTGTCATGGTAACAAGCCTCTTAAAGGGGAAGGCTGCGATGTGCGTGTACCTCCTGCACCGTACTGTTCACCTTCTCAGATTTTTAAGGATCTATTCGTTTGTATTAGGTGGATTGTGATATTTGCCTTATGTTATTGACGTGCCACTTTGCACAGGTGCGGAGGCGAACGGTTCGGAAGGCCCAGAAACGGAGTCCAATGGTAAGGTGGCACCGGGAGGGCGGTAAAAGTGCCCACGCCCCCCCTCGTGCTGCCGCTTCGACGATGTCACCTAAGCGGCACTCGGGTTTCACTGACACTTTGTCGTTTCACAGGAAACAACCATAAGCTGCTGGTAGGGGGGTCGTTGGCTGGACACGCAGGTAAGACATGGGGGGGGGGGGGGGCTTTGCACATTTGACATTTACATTTATCTGTTTACCGGATGCTTTTCTCCAATGTGAGGTGCAAGTGAAGCAGACAGAACAAGCAGTGTTGCCCATTTCAGGTCCAGAAGTTACACATCCAGACCAAGATTATGTTACTACCAACCAGTTGAGTAATCTGTGACTGTGACTCTTTATGCTCAACTGGTTGGTTGGAACAAAATCTTGGTCTCGGTTTGTAGCTTCTGGACCGGAAATGGGCAACACTGAGTACAGGCATACTGCCGTCAAGGAGCCAGCTTAGCTACAAGTGCTACAAGGCTGATCGACCAGAAACAAGTGCAAGATCGTTGTGGTGGAAAGAAATATATGAGCATTGCTAAAAACCTCGCATCAGGAATGCTATACACACAAATATAACCCAAGAGGGACTCCATTCAGAAATCAAGTCTGTGTGCAATATACAGCTAGAAAGAGCATCCTGTAGTCAAGCAAACCGCTTCATTTGACTGGTGGGCATATTGGAGTTTGGGCAATGTCAACGATGAATGGCTGATCTGGTTTTCTGTGTCTGTACAGTCTCTGATCTTCCCCTGGCTGATACCTTCTATGGCGGATATCCAGGTACAGCAGAGACACCTCGGCCCGGGAACACAATCAGAACCATGCACACACGCCCCCAGAAGATCGAATGCATTCCATATGTGCCGGCTTCCGTGAGACAAAAACATCTGGCTGTCGTTTTCATCGGGGGGCCTCTGACAAATGAGAGATAATCGCTTCTTTAAAGAAAAAAAAAGAATACACGAGAATTACGATGCACTTTACGGTTAGGTTAGCAGGATTCTGACATGCTCTAATTGCATGATAGAATTCTGGGCGTTAGCTTATGCTAACCACTACAACGAGTCAGTTGAATGACGTTAGTATTAATATAGCGAGGCGGCTTAACTGGCACATAGCTAAACGGATAAGCAAGGTAGTTCAGCATCTAAACATCTGCTTGTGTTGGATCCTGTGGGCCTCCCAGAACTAGGCGTGATTTCTGTGTTTCTGCACACCTGCCACATATTTCATACCATCACCTCTTCATACCATCTTATGATTACTCAGGCGAGGCATCTGTTATGAGACATACTGGAGCGGTAATTGGATCTAACTTAAAACAATGTCCTAATATGTTTCAGATATAACAGACCATTATATTTCTGACCCCAATATGGACTTGTCAGGTAGGTCCTGCTTAAATTAAAAAAGGGTTATAGTTCCTGCTAACTTGACCATGTGTCAGAATAATACTTTTTCATAATTAAATCCAGGACGAACGTAAATGCCCGAAATCTTAATCTTTTTGAACGTATGGTACTTTTATAGATTGAAAGCATGAATGATGTTGAGTGATTGATCTCCTCATATGCCCATAGATTACGATTTGATATTTTTTCCCGTAAGCTGGTAATTATCTCTGGTCTGCGAGACTAAATAGTTGAGCTGCTATCTCAAGGCTGTTGTCCGCGTGTAAGGAAATTTGGTTTTAATCAGGCCGCTATTTCTCGCTGGTCTTTAATTCCAGTCCTTGGCCTCACTCCAGGAGAGCCCGCTGGTAGCAATGCTCAGTCACATGCTGCAGGTACTTGCTGGCACTGCACTCTCCACTAGGAGCCGTAAATCTCCCTGCCTCCTCTCCATGTGTCGTCTCTCACAGGCTTGACTTGCTGTACCGCACCTGCGAGACCGTTTTCAGACTTGTAATCATGACAGAGATTTCAGAGCGCCGGGCTAAATTTACGGCCGTTTTTTGGGCCAAGGTATCATTACATCCATGTGTTCCACAAAGCCTTGAACCCCGAGTATCAGTTTGCATGTCTGTGCTTATAAAGGAGATTGAATGAAGATTTTATCCTGAAGGTCATTCTGACTCTTTTCCCTTCACACGTTTCAGGTGGTTTCACTGGGAATGACGCCCTCACTGAAAGACTGGGTCAGTTGCTACCTCCGAGACTTATGTTCACTGATGTAGGACAATATGCACAGGAGAGTCTAACTGAGTTGGAGAACATGTCACCACCTTCAAGGGACACATAATGAGAAAGACTGTTAGAATCTCTTGCCATCATATTTGTTTATATCATTGTAAATTCAGATAGATCAACTTAAGCCAGGATATGTTCATTATACATATGAGATTGAATACAAAAGATGCCTAATTAATTATGTGCACCATAGTGATTCACATTAGAATCATCCTAAGATTGTATTTCTGCCAGTAAAGAGATTTAGAAGTAAAAAATATCAGTCTATAAGAACAAATTGGTATTTTGTTCTAAAAAGATTCCAGAAGCCATTTTGCACATTTTATCACATTTTTCCAAGAAACAAAGCAGTTATTTTTAATTTACTGCTGAACCGTCAAACCTTGGAGAGAATTCCATGGAAATATGAAACATCTTATTTCTTGAATCTCGTTTTTTTTTGTCAATAACAGGACTTGCTGGAGACCTGGGCATTCCACAGATGGCCTCTACAGGTTTACTGCATATTTACCTATACAATGACTGACCTATAAATTTGCGAGTTATGCCTTACAAGGTTGTATATATACGGCAAATTCTCACTCCTGTCTGTATCTACAGCCCATCCATCAGAAGGTGAGCACACACCTGTGAATGTTTGGCACATTTATTTATGCAGATTGTTTATTATTTTTTTTACATCTAATCACTATTGTTATCTAATTATTTATATGATTTTCATAATGCTTAACAGTTGCAGTGTTACACAATTCTCTCTGATAAATGCATATATAGAAAGAGTTATTTTCAAAGACTCATTTTCAAGCAAGCACGGGACTGGTCTCTGCAGGGGCCCCATAAGGGGCAGGGGGGGGGGTAGGGGTGGGGGATTAGGACGATTCGAAGGGCCCCTGAGTGACAGGGGCCCTAAAAAATTGGAACATAACTGGATTGGTGTGGATTGGGGGGCCCTATATGATATGCTTGTATGGGGCCCAGAATGTCGACCCCTGGTTTTCTGAAACATTATTGTGATCTTTTCATTATCTGTATCTTTGTCTTCAAATATAAATATTTCTGTCCAGCAGATCCCAAGTTAAGAACGTCCGTTAACAGACAACTAAAATCTGTCATATTAAAAATCTGAGTTAAATACATTGGTTCATAATAAGAATACACATTGTACTTTGTGACAGTCATGACAACATTGCATGGTTTCTGTGGTTCGTCAGCTCAAGGTGCAGTACAGTATTTTTCCAACTTAAATACAAACTCTACTTAAAGACAGGCATGGGGAGTGAATCTCCTTTGTCGCTTGGGAACTGCCTGTAACTACATTTTACAGAAATGATCCACAGAAACACCCAGTGCTTTCTTCCACCCCTCTGTCACCAGGCTCCAGAATTCCAGGCAGTTTTAGTGACCATTTCCACTCCATTAGTTATACTGGTAAGGAGGATATTTCAAATCCGCGGCTTTAGACGATACGTTGCACCTTCTGATCGGATGTCTTCAATTAAAGAAATTCTTGCTTATATTTGTTTCTTGGTAACTTAGACGGTGGGGATCACGCTGCTGTGACTGGTGTCCATGGTGCCACGACAGGTAAATAAGCACCGACTGACTGGATAATCCTCAGTGTGACTTGTGCTGCATCCCTCTCCAGGAAAAACAGCCCGAAGGTGCTATTATCCATCCTTCTTCCAACCTCTTATCCGGTGCCTGTCCCAGGCAGAGGTGGACATTTCAGGTCCGGAAAGTAAAAATCCAGACCAGGATTTTGTTTCAACCAACCTGCTGAGTATAAAGATTCACAGCCATATTTACTCAGCTGGTTGGTTGAAACAAAATCCTGGTTTGGATTTTTACTTTCTGGACCTGAAATGTCCACCTCTGGTCCCAGGCAGCACAGGGCACAAACCCTTCTCCCCACACAGAATTCCAGTCCATCACAGGGCACAAACCCTTCTCCCCACACAGAATTCCAGTCCATCACAGGGCACAAACCCCTCTCCCCACACAGAATTCCAGTCCATCACAGGGCACACTCATGCACACATGGAAAAATTGCACTCTATAGGAAATTTAAAAGCATCAGTTTGGAATGTAGGAGAATGCCTGCATACCCCCACACACTCCAGCCCCACCCACAGAGGTGTGAGGAAATCACAGTTATTCACGCAGAAAGAGCTTTTCAGCATAATAAGACTAGAAATCACAAAAAAAGAGAACCTCACCCAATTCCTAGGCAGTACCACTAGATGTTAATGGTGACTTCTTCGTTGACTGAAGTGTTAGGAATACTCTATTATTATAATTATTATTGTTGTTGTTGTTGTTGTTTTAAAGATCCGCATGCAGAAATGGCCATGATATCACATACCGAATATCTGAGTACACATGATCCAGGTACGTTCATGTAAAGTCAACAAAACAAAAAATATAAGATTATATAATTTCCTTGACTCCTGGAGTCACTGTATCAAATCATGGCAAAAAATAAGGCGTTGAAAATGGACTGTTCTAAATAGTTCCAATTTAAAAAGACATTGTGTTTAAATTGTAGAGGGTGGCTCTGATGTAGTGCATATAGAGTCATCAAATCCCAATGGTAAGTGATGACTGATATCCCTATTTCAGTTCTGTTTTTAAAATACCGAGGAACTGCTGATGGACATTATTACCAACATATACAAACAGTTATCAAATGGTACCAAACTTGCTCTCGAAACATCAACTTGTTTTTTTCATTAGGAAATGGTCGCCAAAGACCGATCACAGAGATGCACAATAGAGGTAATCGGTTATTTTTTTAGCATAGCTGAAGAAACTTTGTTATTCCACATCAGCTAATATATTCTGTTTCACCATTTACAGGAGATCAGCCTTTCACTGACCATCATGACAGAATAAGTAAGACAAGGGTTCATATTAATAATAATAATAATTATTATTATTATTATTAACAATCTATCAACACTGTCGTGAATAAGCAGATGTCTGAGAAGTGTGGTACTATTTCCACACAGTTTTCTTTAAACCCAGGCATTAATTCAGGGTTACAAACTGAGTCTAATCATAATAATGGTGTCGTATTGTGAAATTTATGCCTTATTATTATGTGGAAAAAGTTACCATGGATCCTGCATGGCCACTTCTGGCTGCGTTAAAAAAGTCAGCGATGGAAAATCTGCAGGCTTCCATCACCCCAAAAGACATCAAAAAGGGGAAGAATCTTTAACTATTCCAAAAACTATCCATCATTGCCCCCCCCCCCATGCACACAGGTGACCTGCACAGCGCTTCACATCTCAGTTCAGCAGGTGAGTTGAGTGGCTGCTGTGACATTTTCTGAAACACCTCCCGCGACGATGTACTTGACGGTGTTGTTACAGCGGGGGCTGTCTTGCTGCGTATACGCCAGTACTGTGTTTATTTTGCTTTGTTGAGAGAACAGAGCTTTCGTAACACAGAGGCCTTCTGTTCACCACTCACAGGTGGAGGGAGTCCGCACGTCAATCCTCACACGGGCACCGATGGTCAGTCTTAAAACATAAAAGTATATTCAAGTAAATTTAAACAATAAGACCTGAAGTTCCCTTAATTTCTATCAAATGTATGCATGCAGCATGCGCGCCTGTCCAGTAACACGTGTCGCTGTTTCCTGGGTTTGGCAGTGGCCCCGATCGCAGGAGAGATGAGTTCACTGAATGCACTTTCTCACATGGACCATTCAGGTAGCATCACTTCTTTCACGGTGACACCAAGCATGTGCTTCGGTTAAAATATCCAAGAAGCGATTTCTCGTCCCCAGTAGTCACTACACTTGTTACACCCATTTCTTTATACTCAACAGAACCGTTTATATTCCCCTGACTGTGACTCCCAATCTTACTGCCCTTGCTGACTGACATAGAAAAGTGTCCTGTTTCAATAGGTTTGAGTGGAGAACCTGTGACCAGTTCCCACCTACAGCTGGAAGTAACTGGTAAGAGACAATGATATGGAGTTTGAGGATACTCCAGGGAAACTAGCTGGCACATTCATTTCTGATGATTTAGTCTTTACATGAACCTTCTATTTTGAAGAAGGTTGGCCTCAAAACATTTAATAAGTTTTGCAAACATGCATATAATAATATATATTTTTACTAGTCTGAGTTTGGTTTCTCCCGGAGTTCATTGAGCAAGCCTGATGTGTCCTTTTAAATGTGTAACTCTCTCCCGCCAAATAAATGTTTGGCTTTTACACTGTAGCTCCAGGCTCTGCATTCAGCTCCAGCACACCAGATATAGGTATGTATCCATAAATTTCCTCACCCCCGGAGGTGATTTTCCAGTGTGCTGTTTATGGCGTTTGGACAAAGTTGCAAGGAGATAAAGGACAAAAGCCAGCCAGCTTTTTTTATGCAAGTGCGTTGCTAGGAGAGTTTATTAGGATCACTTTCCACTCCACAAATGTGTCCTGAGCGATGAGAATAGCTCTCAGAAGAAGCCATTGCACAATACAGAATATTATCCTGCCTCAAACTCAAGAAGGAATTACAGACATTCGAACTGAAGATTTTTAGCCAAACATCCCACCAATCAGGCAGCACCCTGTGACCCCGCCCCCCACTCTTCCTCCCTAGCCTTCAGTGGAGAACCCGTGACCAGCAACCAAATAAATTCCACAGGTCAGTGGGCCTTTCATACATCTATCGACCTATTCATCTTCCAATCACTTATCCTGCTCAGGGTCACATGGGGGCCTGGAGCCAATCCTAGGCAGCACAGGGTACATGGCTGGGGTGCACCCTGGATGGGATGCCAGTATATCACAGGGCACATACCCACGCAACATGGGGAGACACATAAACTTCAGGAAAACAGAGCGGAGGTGGGATTCAAAGCCCAAACCCTGGACATGTGATGCCACAGCGCCTCCCTGTGGGCCTTTCAAGGTCCAGCCACAGGCCTAGACCATGGTGCCAAAGACTGGCCAGCGGCCAACACACAGTGAGAAGGGAGGAAGGTTTATGAATGAAATAGGCCTTACAGGTACTACACCAGCAAAGCTTTAGCGCATACACCATTTACCCAGCAAAGGGTTACACCACTTAGTGTCTTTCTAGAAACATTGTTCATTCTGGATTCATATTCATTGTCATAGATTTTACTGTCCATGCATTCATTCATGTTCAGTGTTTACTATGGTTAAGCAATGGTTACCGTAATTAAGACTGATTCGCGTTCAAGCAAAGGGCATCGATTATGCCTTAATGGTCCAGGGTATTTGTGGTTTGTGAGGTCCACGCTGTCATCTTCCTGACTTAGGGGGGGCAGAGCTGCACGGTGTGCTCTTTCAGACTGGATCCCCAGGTGGGTTCGCCCCTACATGGTCGCTACACCTCAGCTTCTCAGCACTCACAGCCATGCTCATGCCTCATGGTAGGGGGGCGGGGGGCGGGGGCGTCCATCTCACTGTTCTGAGTGTGGTGTTTCAGTTACAGGGAACCCGCTTAAAATCTCCCCCCACACGGACACCGTTGACGGGGGTGAGTCCCATCACCAGGACTCCTTGGCCGCTGGCCTCTATCTGTCCTGTGTATGTCCACCTAAAGGGGTTTGGTCGCTATGCTCTTTGGGCGTCAACCCAATGCTCAATGCTGATGCCGTCATAATTCCTAACCGTTCTTTCTGTTCTGTTATAGTTTCTGCTGATCCCCGAGGAACCAATGAAGGTTTCAGTAAGTCTGAACAACCACGTCCCACACACTTCAGGAGTTACTACACAAATAACAGAAATACTAACAAAGGAGAGAGGAATCAGGTCACACTTTACTTGAGGGGACATGAATAATATAGTAGTACATGCTTCACTTAATGCTTACTTAACCAGTAACTAAGTGTTAGTTACTAATCCCATGTTCATTCATCATTAATAAATCATGACAGTTCATTTATTTCATTCAGGCACCATACTAGTTAACAGTCAATTAATTAGTTAATAATGGTAAGACTTCACTTGAGGGGGCAAAAATTACTCAACCCATTTACTACTCAAGAACAAATCATGAACTAATATAGGTTTCTCCATGAAATACATGAACTGTCCTGATTGAATAATGATGAATGAACATGGGTTCAGTACTTAAACACTTAGCTACTGGTTAATTAATGAATTTAGTAAATGTGTACTACTACATTATTCATGTCCCCTCAAGTAAAGTTAGCGGGAATCAGTATAAAACCCAGCAACATGTTTATTTCTTGCTATTATGTTTGGCATATAAGCTTTTTTAACAGATGCATTTGATCACAGAGTATCTCTGCTTCAGTAGGTCATCAAGACACTACGATGCAGACCCAATCAGCTGGTAAGTTTAATGGCAGTTTAACGGCAAAATCAAGTCCCTGGTCACGTGACTGATGCTTTAGCCCACAGAGGGCTCTGATCATCCCCCCTGCCCGAGCAGTTGATCAATAGCTCTTCGTTTTTTCTCTGTTTTGCCTGCTTTTTTCAGTTCCCGCAGGTGAACAGTACATCACTTCTGGTCAGGGTCCTCAAGGTGAGATCTCTCGTTTTTTAGGCTTGTGTAGCTACACTGAAACCACTCCTCTCCAGACAGGCCACATGACTTGCTCCCTCCCAGCTCTCAGCACATTCAAAAATGAACCAAACAATTAAGAGCACTGAATACTTGGTTCAGGTCTGTTTGGAGACTGGCTGCACGATATTACATTGTGATTTTATGGCACATGCGCAAAAATCACCAGGCCTTCATATGACGGGTGTAAACATTTGTCCAGTCGCTGAATGAGTTAGTAATCTGTATAAATTCAGCATATACTTATGTTAAATAAACATGTCGGACTTAAAGCTGCAAAAAGTACCACCACACCACCGATGTCCTTTTACCTTGTTTATCCACAATATTTAATGTTCATCAGATGTTCTGGCTGCTGATCTGTCCCTTTCTTCACCGCCACTTCAGTGCTCATCCCTTCCATGATTTACCAAAACAGTCATGTGTGATGTGCTCCGCTAACTGAAGTTAATAAACATAAGGATACGCCGAATTTATACAGATTACTAACTTTTGGGTGTCACAATACACATCTGATTAATATTTTAGGCATACTACTAATCCATACTACTAATCCATACTACTAAACCAAATTGTGGGTGTAAGTAAACATTCGTATAGTGCTGAAAAGCCGATGTCTAGACAAATGTTTATGCCCGTCATCTAAAGCCCTGGTGATTATTGCGCATTCGCCATATCGCAATGTGATATACCCCTAGTTATGAGTTGGTAGGGAGCAATGATGTAGACCAGGAGTAGGTAAACCTGATCATGGAGGGCCGGTATCCAGCAGGCTTTCTGTCCTACCGGATGAGTCACTATCTGCCTGAGATCAGGTGTGGCTCATCAGAGACCAGGTAGGATGGAAAACCTGCTGGATGCTGTTACTCCGGGATCAGGGCCTGCCAAGCTCTACTGCAGACTGTCTGCGGCTCCCTGAGGGCTGGTTAGAGAAATGCTGACATGAAACACTAAGACGCCCATTACATGAAACCGAATAGTGTAATTAAAAGCATAAGGGGATTAAAAAACAAAGCATTTTAATTAGTCAAAAATATAGTCAGAGCTGTTGCAGTTTCTCCAATAAATATGGCTGTCGTCTTGATCTGATTCTGCCTGGGTTTTGTGCTGTGAAACTTGCCAGATGTTTGACATATCAGGTGGAGACTGAACCATGCTAAGGTACAGTATGAATTACAGTGTGTTGCAGCGAGTGCTGGCCCTCACTCCCTGTATTTCACATGCCTTTCGGCTGAAAGAACGAAACGTGAGGCCGCCGTTTCTGTAACCACCCACAGGTGCAGAAAATGTGGAACTGGAGGATACCTGCTGACTTGCACATCAAGCCTCGTGTCAAGATCATACGCTACAGATTCCAATGCAAGGAAGAGTGGATGAACAGAGACCCCCTACACTAGCGACGAGCATTTATGTCCGTTCTGCCGTTTAAACACTAAGATAAAGAGCAAGTTCACTAATACATCTGTCCATGCCTACCCTGCAGTTTACTTTTGTCTTACATTGAAGATTTTGGGGATTCAGAGGGGAGATTGCTTTCTTAAGAATGCAGAATGGAAGGTATTGTCATCCTTTCTGACAATTTTGTGCAAAAATGTTTTTACAGTGCCTGCAGATACTGCATTTCTTTTGCTTTTAAAAAAATATTTGAGAAACATTCATTACTGGTGTGACCAAGAGTTAATTGCCAAATGAGTCATTTTAAAATATGCTTTAATTAATCATCTGTCTACACCCTCAACCTCCACACACATCCTGTTCTCCATCTCATGAGGGCTCAGCTTTGTCATGTTGTTGGGATTTTAATTCAGTGCCGTTATTCCATGTGGGTCTTACGAGTAGTAGCTGGTCAAATTAGTCAGTGGGAGGGCTTGCTACATCTCTCCCGTCCCCAGTGCCTCAAACCAATTAGATATTATCCGGTTGCTCATACATAGATGGTGCCTCAAGTAAACGGCATTGTGCCCTTATGTCTCTGGGCCTTTGGGCTTGATACCGGCCCGACGTGCGAGCATCCTCCCGTAGCCTGCAGACATGCCGAGAGGCTAAACAGGTGTGTCAACTTGTGATGATGTCATTCCAGAGAGAGGCTCCAAGCTCACCTTAACTCTGAAGGGGTTGCACAGTTCTGAGAAATGAATGAACAAATGACATGAGCTTGTTACACGTGAAACCATGGTAACAGGTTCATTAAGGTGCATCAATGAATCGCTTAACCTTTAGGTGACCTCCATTTATGACAACAGAAGTAGTAATGGTGGGGTTTTTGATCCGTATGTCACAGAAGTAATGTAAAATACCAGTTACATTACTGCTTGTTTGTGATTTTTGGATACAGAATTGACTTGACACATTTCCTCTGGAATGACTACAATTAAAACTTCAACCACTGTAAGGGGTCAGACAAACCCCGGCGTTAGGTGCTTTCAACTTGCGTGTTTGCCATATTTATACTGTACTGCTACTTTTCAAGTGTTGTTGGCCGTTACAGCTGTACACGTTCTGTTCTTACATGTTTGCATGTAATTTTCACTGAATAAATATACCATACAGTACAGAGGTTTGGTGATTTCAGTCGGGCGACTCCATCCTGTCACACGAGTCTATAGCTGGTGTCTTACAGACATATCGGTGACACAGAACGCTTTTTTGGAACTAACATATCCCTGACTGGGGCGGCATTGTGGTGCAGTGGTTAGCACTGCTGCCTCACACCTCTGGGACCTGGGTTCGAGCCTCCGCCTGGGTTACGTGTGTGGAGTTTGCATGTTCTCCCCATGTCGTCGTGGGGTTTCCTCTGGGTACTCCGGTTTCCCCCCACAGTCCAAAGACATGCTGAGGCTTATTCCCTGCCTCATGCCCTTAGCTTCCAGGATAGGACCCAAACCCCCTATAACCCAGAAGGATAAGCGGTTTGGAAGACGGATATTCCTCAGAATGTCTTTTGAACAAATGGCAACCTTGTCAGTGTATAGAGCAATTTATTAACCAATAACCACAAACATATTTCTAAGTGTTAAGCAAGCATTACTCTCCGGGTGGCGCTGTTAGCCAGTAAAATGAGCATTCAGAGTCCTTCTATCAGAGACTTCTCTTCACTGACATAACACACAGGAAAGGCAGCCGTCCCACTCTCTGTTTGAATCCTTAAACAGGAACAGGTGAAAGAGAGGACACAAAGGTTATCAAGAAAATTCTGAGGACATTATAATTAATTTATGGTCAAATGAACACTTTTACAAATAGTGGCTGGGCTAAACCGTGAATGTATATATTTTTAAATTCAGAACTAATAACTTAAAAACATAAATACAAGATTGACTATATCAATATATACTTAGTGGCCACATTATTAGGTATAACTAATGCAATCAGCCTGGTCTTCCAAACAGCAATTGTCACTGGGTACACACACCACAGAGACAGGGACAAGATTTCACTTACTGACAATGACAACCACCATGATGCCGGATATAAGTGATTCTGAAAGTGGTGAGACTTGGTGGCAGACAGGGTGATTTTACAATTAATCTGAGTGCACAACTCATCAGTCCTTAAAGTGGTTCTGGACTCAAATGAGGGTCCGTTAACCAGACTACATAGGGGTGCCTAATAAAGTGGCCAATAAAGCGTTACTTAAAATACAGATTTGCTCTATTACACTATTTTAAAACATCGCTCGTGCCTGTATATAGTGATTACAATTCTGTCCATGAGTGAAAGTTTAATTTGAATAGGAACGCTGGGGAAAAGCACAGATAATTATGAAAAGAAAAACAGAATAATCTGCTTAATACTTAATATTGAAAACACTTCAAAAGCAAACACAGCTGTTAGGAATCTCAGCTGGACATACTGGAGGAAGGGGAATCTTAAAGGTGAAATGTTTGTGTTTTTGCTGTGCCAACAGAAACAAGAATATAAGAAAATTGGTGAAATAAAACAGCTCTTACTGACTAGTAAAAAGACCTAAACAGTTGTTCTTGCTTATAGAATTTGTCAGTAAGTCTGTCCACACTCCTTCCATTTGATGTCATTCTACATGAACATTTTGAACAAATTTACCCGACTCCTCACCGCAAGCCAGTCCCGATGCTTACTTTTGAAATATGCAGACCATAATATTTAAAAGTCGGAGGCTCTTTTAGGTTTCCTGGAAAATTGGGCCACAGTCAATTCTACTCAAGCAGATTTAAACAGCCAGTTTATGGAATCAATTGTCAGTCCGGGAATAATTTTACCGTGGTACACATGGAATTCACTTCATTCACTTTCACTCCATCTGATAGGTAACTGCCAGCACAAATATTTCAGATGTTCTGTTTAATAGGCATAACAATGACAGCAGAATAAATTCAGTATTCAGGGAGTGCATTTCAGCAGTTGTAGTAATCCCCCCCCCAAAGGTCATCTTCAAAACATTCACGCAGGAAATTTGTTCGCTTAAAAATAATTCCCTAGTACTGCTGAAAAAGCCAACCGTAAATGAGTCAAATCCAAAAAAAAGAATGAAATGCTCAACAAAAACGCTTAAGTATATTAAACAATATTTATGTAAAAATCAAAAATACATTAATATTATTAACACATTGTAAATATACAAGCAGCACTGGATAAAAGGGAAAAAAAAAAAACATGAACCACAAAGAACCGGTATATATACAGTGGTACCTCAGAACTCTAACTTAATCCGTTCAGAACTCTGGTTCAAATCCTAAAAAGTTCGAGCCATTAAGAAAAATCGAATTTTCCCCATAAGAAATAATGGAAAACCAATTAATTGGTTCCTGGCCCCAAAAAATAATTACACCTAAATATGTTTTTTTTTTTTTTGCATTTAAACACAAAATGAACCGGATAAAACAAGACGACCATTTTTTTCTTAATGGCTTCCAAAACGATAAAGAATGTATCCCAACACTACCCCTGTCCTGCCCTGATCGTCCGCTCCTTCCGTGTGCCATGCCCCCTCGATAACCCCGTGTGGAATCCCCGTGTGATCAGCTGTTTCTCGTTGTTGTCATTAGTCCTCTGTATTTAGTCTGCGTTTCAGTTTGTTTCCCCAGTCCAGTCATTGTAATGTCATTGTGTTGTTCTGCCTGTTCTGAATTAAACCCTGCGTTTCCCGATCGCTTGAGTCCTGTCCCAGCATCCCCAGTCCCGGCTCAGCAGATTGTGACATCATCAAGCCATGCCCCAACACTAGACTATGCCATGCGGTCCATTGTATATTTTTATTATTAGTCTGTATTCGTTAATTTGTTTGTAAATCGCAAACTTTTAGGTTTTAACTACTGCGTAACTTTTTGGTGAGCAATGGCTACCAAAATGATATAAAGTACAGTGTATTACCTAATATTTCCAATAAAAAAAGCACTATCACCAACAAACAATGCTATTACAGTGAATGCGATGCTGAGACTGAAGCGTTACCCTTTATTTCCGCAGAGAGACGTGCCGCGTGACTCATTTCCCCGCACATACAAGTTATCTTAGGTCAGCGTTCACGGTTCCACTTCTGGATTCAGATCGAGTTCTAGGTCATTTTTTTTCGGAACTGGTTGGTTCGACTTCTAAGAAATGAGTTCTAGAACTGAGGTACCACTGTATTTGCCAAGAGTTATATTGAAACTATTTCAATACAATCATGTTTACTTGAAACTTAATATAAACCAAGTCTTGCCCACATGCGTAATGAGATACTCATACAAGTGTTTCCACACAATGACATTTATTGGATGGCTAATTTTGTTATTGGAAAGTTAAGTGTATATATATCAGTGATTTATCAGCAAGTGTGGGAACACACGCGTGTGCACACACATGCGCACACACACACGCGCAGACATAGCAGCAGTCACACGTCCCAGAATTCCAGGGGGCCGGGAGTAAGAATGTTTAAAATCAAAGCCCTCAAGTCGGGATTAGCCTGTTTGCAGAAAGCAAATGCACACACCCCAGCGAACAAGTGAGAATAAATGAGGAAGGGAGGACCCTGTGAAATCCACGGCGGCCGGGGGGAGACTGGTCACCACGAGCCCCCATTACCACAGAGCGTGCATCACTCACCAAGTTGGCGGTCAAGAAACGAGGGAAAGGAAGGATGACCTATACTCGCTTTAAAAAAGTAATGTATAAATGTATGGTATATAACAAATATATACAGAGCTCTGCGTTCAAGGGGACCCCAAACTTTTTAAAAAACCACGCTCCCTTTATACTCTTTGCAGTTCATCGATCACGGTACGGTTTAGCTTACAAAAATAGTACTCTTTAAACACTCCGTCTGTGACATTATATCTAAAATAAATACATTTATTAGGCTAACTGAGCCATCACTAGAAACGTGTTCGTATACCTCTGTGCACAGATGCTTGAGAACTGAACTGGGAGACTATGCAGAGGAAAGGATTATTCGGCACGCTACGCTAAGAGTCCGCGTGTTGTCTCTGTCTCCTTAATCCCAAATGCAATACCTTTTCTTGGTATTTAAACATATGCAAAACAAATAACGATGATGACCCATCCTTGCATAAAATGGGTCCAAGTCGTACTGTACCTATGCTTCTCCGTCGCCCGTAGCAACTGTAACCCAGCAGGAAGGGAAAGCAAACTAGCCACTGTGTCCGGATATTTCGGAAGGATTATGACCGGAGAGGGCTTGGAAACTACGGCTGCAGTCTAGCGGGCTTAGCGCGGCACAAAGACTCAGAACCCGAAGTGTGTGTTAAGTAAGCGGTTGTGGTTTTTTAGGTGTCCCCCAAAAGGAGCCTCAGCAGAACCAGGCAGGCAGCCCCTCCTTTAACACCCGTGTTCGACTTCCTGTCCCCCATTTCGCCGGCACGGCAATGACGATCAGAACCGGCTGGGTGCGTCCACACGCCCGACACACCGACGCCCCACCTAGGACAGCTGGGTGTCTTCGGTGACGTTGCTCTGGTAGTCGGAGGAGAGCAGGGAGCTGGCGGGGTCCTCGGCATCACTGCCGAAGTAGGAATCCCCTTCCAGCTCCAGGAGAATGGGCAAGTCCTCGCCGGCGTTGTCGACGCTGACCGGGTCCGCCAGGAGCACAGGCTGGGCGGTATACTGGACCAGCTGCTTCCCTGCACCACCCAGGGAACACAAGCACCCCTCACTCTCAGCAGCTACACGTTGCCATGGTTACAGGTAACCCCTATTGGGGGTGCCCTGGACTGCCAGAAATAGCCAACTGTACTTACATCATGTAGTACTCTGTGCGACCCAGAACACAACTTATAGACAAATCTAGAGCCAGAATGAGTTTAGCTCTAATCCAAGGGGATTTAGTGTCCGGTCATTTTCATTACAAGAGAATCCAAAAGACACCTAATCTACGGCAGAGGTACACATTTCAGGTCCAGAAAGTAAAAATCCAGACCAAAATTTACTCTGTGACTGTGACTCTTTATACTCAACTGGTTGGTTGAAACAAAATCTTGGTCTGGATTTTTATTCTGTGGACCTGAAGTGTCCACCTCTGCCCAAGAGTGTACATGGGTTGGCCACTGGGTTTTTTCCCTTACCAGCATCACTGGGACTGGTACTGGTCTCAGCTGCCTTTTGATCTTGAACCAGCAAGTCCTGAATCTTTGGGGGGGGGAAGGGTAGAGGGGAAAAGGATCAAGAGTTCAAAAAAGTATACACAACAAAGCGTTGACTGAAAGATTATTAGATGCAGGTTAGTCAAACACACTCACGCTTGCAAGACTTGAATCCAGATCTGGTAGGCTGAATTCTGTGTTAGACAGTGAAGTGCTGAAGATCTGGAAAAACCCACAATGTTAAATGATAATTGGGGGAAAAACTACAGCAGCGTTTCTCAACCTGGTCCTCAGGGACTCCCAGGACTCCCTGGAGCAAAAATGTGGACTGTCTGGCAGGGAGCAAAAATGTGGACTGTCTGGCAGGGAGCAAAAATGTGGACTGTCTGGGGGTCCCTGGGGATCAGGTTAGGAAACAGTGAACTACAGGATAACAATGACATACTATGGCTGCTGAAAAGGATCAAAAGGCACCTACGTCAAAAAGTGGAGATGGGTCGAAATTGATGGACTGTCCATTCAAGATTGCCTGAAGGTTCTCCAAGCCAGTGTCGATGGATTCCAAATGGTCGGCAAGCTCACTCCTGATGGGTTTACAGGGGAGTACAAAACCATTAACGGGTTTAAATAATCAATAAATCAACAGTAAAAAAAAATTAAAAATCCACAAAATAATCCACGTTTAAACGATAGTGTTTCTATAAATAGCCACATGGGATGGCATAGCAAATACAGACATGTGTACCGGGACCCAGCTGGACCTGAGAGACCAGGCTTATCTCTGACAGACCTTCACAACATAGGAAGCCAGGAGTCGTGACAAAACCTTTATACACCTCTATCTCAGCCCCAACATCTTACCAACAATGCTTTAGCGCACAAAAATGTAATCTGTTAATGCATACAGACGTATGAACATTCCCAGACTAGCCTCTGACTTGAAAACACTAATAAAAGAAATCACATTTTTAAGGAGAGAATGCCACATTATAGCTGGCTCCTCCTTCTCCTTTCCCTGCCCGAATCCAGATCTGCTGACCCAGCTGTGTACTCAGCTGTGCCAAGCCCTCCTAACAGACGCCAAGTACACATCCCACAGTGGGGGTCACGTTTCATGCTCAAACGGGGGAGCCAGGGATGACTGTAGCACTCGAGCTTCCCCCAGTGCACGCGGCTTCGCCAGCGACAGGTGGCGATAGAAACAATGTGCTGATTATTCTGCGGTCAGCCCCCAACCCCCTCCCCCCCCCGCCCCCAATGGCCCAGCTAAACGCGGCACTGCTAACAAACTGGAATTCCCGCATGCCTTTAGGGGCGGAGCCAAAATGCAACTCCCCAGCCAATCAGATTCTTCGGACACCCCGGCGAATCACTCGCAATGGCGGTGTGACAATGACAACCGTAGACCTCGAGTGTGTCTCTGAACGGGCTCAAAGGTTGGGGCGGGTTCCATCTACCATATTAGCTAAAGACGGCCTTGCCAGGACAGGCGTGATGACACCGCGGGGGACAAGTGCCGCGTGTGCTGTGAGGGGCGGTACGAACACAGAAAATGCTGACCCCGGAGGCGCTCTGGGATGAGGGGAAGGACTTGGGATAACACAAGAGATTCCCAACATCTGTGGGGATCTGAAAGACAGAACAACAAAGCAGCGGTTCACAGATTCGACAGGACTGTGGGGCAGCTGCACAGCTGACAAACAGAGAAGCAAGGCCCCTCCCCTCCCCCCCCCCGGGCACGCTCAGATGCACAGCGGGCCGCGACGGGTCACGGAACAAAAGGCGTCCCAGTCCAAAAGGTGGGCGGGCCAACATCTCGCCTCAGCTAGTCTCTGATCTGGGAACAACCAGTTGCGTGTTCCGGGTGGGAATCGAACATGCCTCTGGACCTTTGGGATTGAAGCTGCCCATCACTGTACACAACACAACAAGCCTACAACTGCAGGGAAGCGATACACTGCTGAAATCGGACCATGGCCCAGTCAAGCCGGAACACATACAACGGACCTGTCGCGTCATGGGCCGGATTACATAAATAAAAACAGTTTGGAGGACTGATTTAAAAACACTGTACAAATAGCACCTACGGAACACGCAAGATCCCAAAGCCATTAGCGGTGTTTTCTGGTAATACTTCAAGTGTTCCTTAAATGTGGTGTAATACTTCCATGCGAACCGTAGAGGGCACTAATCATTATCTGGAGCATTGCCACTGCGGGATAACGCAACCAGTTGTGGCACCTGCTGGACAAAAAAAATGCTTTACGAAAGGCACATTATACAAGAAACCGAATTAATAAAAGAAATAAGCAAAAATGATGTTTATTTTTGCCCTGTCATGGGTTATTCCCCGCTGTGTGACTGTTGTTTCCGGGATAGACTCTGGATCCTTGCAACCCTGCACAGGGTAAGTGGGTATGGGAGATGAATGAATGAACGAATGTTTATTTTTGAAAATTAGTTGGCAAGGAGATTCAGCAGTGAATAGGCAGGTTTGATCCCTTGGGTGTCAATGATGGAAAGCACATTCCTGGTGTGACAAAATGAGATTTACCCAAAAACTATTTTACTTGTTGATGCCTATCACGAAGGGGAAAAAAAATCCTAAAGATTGATAAAATAATAAAAGTCACACACAGGCTAGACAGGGGGCGCTGTGACTTGCGGCTCTTGATTTCTGGCCCGGGGCCTAGGTGTTTGCGGTATGGGGGTCTGGTATTCCATCCAGAGTGTCCAAAGCTGGTTAGGATAGACTCCAGACTCACCGCAACCGTGCTGGATATAGGGCTGACGGAGATGGATGGACGATGGATGGATGGATGATTTATATACTGTGAGGAAGATAAACCTGCTATGGGTGCCCTCAGTCCAACACCGACCCGTCACCCTGTCTCAACACACAGCCGCATCCGACTAAAAAGCCCCGTGTTTGGGTAATACGCATTGTAAAGTGATTAAAACCCGGCAAACTGACTGGCTGACGACAGATAATCTGCTTCCAAACAACGGACCGGCTCCCTGCTTCAGGCGGGGACCAAGCAAAGGAGCAGATGTCCTGGATAGGCTGGCTGAGACCACCAAGGGTAGAGAGAGTGGCGCGCCTGGTACAACTGCAGGCCGGGGGGGGGGGTGTGTGTGTGGGGGCGAGGCTCTTACTTGTCTAGGCGGGCCACACTCAGACACTTGGGCCCCTGCAGCTCAATGGGGGCCGGAGCTGGCGCGGGGGTGGGGGTAGGGGTCGGCGTTGGGGTTGGGATGGGCTCATTGTCCTGCAGGATGGAGTTGATGAAGGTGGTGGGGGACAGAGGGGTGTCCGCAGGAACGCAGACCCCCACCTCGCCCACCGGCTCCTCCTCGGGGCTGCAGGCAGGACTGCCGGGCTCTTCCTTAATGTGCACCAGCGGACTCATCCTGTAGGGGGCGACCAGGGACACATGCTTCATTGCTCACCCTTACCTGCTAAACTTCCTTAATGATGACCCTGATCACAGAGCTGACGCTTACTGCGTTCACCAGCCGGATTACAAAATACCCCAGCATGCACACACGGCACCGACCTCTCCTCCGTCCACTCATCAGCGATCTCACTGGGGCTGGACTGTGACATGTCAGTAACATCAGAGATGATTGGGCCTGATTTCATAGGATCATCCGACGAGAAGAGGTTTGCCGCCCCGAATGTTGTGGGTGCCTGCAACATGCAATTAACAACAACATCATGATTAAGGTCAGGAAACGGCAGTTAGCCTCTCAACAAACAGGCACACTCTGGACACCTAAAATAAAGATAGCGGCCCTACCGAGAAAGCTGAGGTGCCCTGCATGTGCTCCAGCGAGTACTGCCGGCTGAACTTGGGCATGGAGTGGGTTGAGCTGCTGTCGTTCAGCATTAGGGGGCTGCCGAGAGAGCAGGGGCACGTCAAACCCAAAGCCAGCCAGCTCCAGGGCTCGGGAAAGGCCCCGGGGACGGAGAACGGTGGGGACTTACATCTTCCTCTTCATGCCCAAGACTCTGTTGGACTGAACCAGCGTAATCAGGAACTGGATGAGCTGTGGGGACATGAGGGCGGCGGAGAGACGGACGTTGAGTCACGGGGCGGCCAAGCCTGACGCCGCTGACAAACTACGGAGCAGGACTGTAATCACGGCACAGCTGCAACCATCGCCCATCCATGCTGCTAGCTGCTAGAGCCTCACTGCTCCGTGGTTCTGTGTCTGACTGACGGGCGTTTTGCCCTCGGTTTACCTTGTTGACGACTTTCTGCTGCTGGGAGTGTTTCTGCCGAAGGGTGGCCACCTCCCTCCAGAGAGCTTCGTTCTCCCTACGGAAAAACAGGGTGGACGTCAAGCAGCCGAAACGCCGGGAAACTTACGGTACAGGCAACAGCGTGAAGCTCTAACTTCAGAAGCACAGGATACAAGCAAAGTCGTTTTAGGACAATAATGCTGCTCACTGTTCCAGCAGCCAATGATTTTACACGTTTGTGACTTACCACACGCCAACAAGGACGGCTGCCATTGGCTATAGGCTGCAGAGGCCCAAGAACTTGTTAAGCCCATATTAGAGGCCTTCCTTACTGTTCTTTTAGTAGATCATGGACAAGACCTCCAACATGTCACCAGGAAAGTGAAGGATCAATTTATCTGCTGGTTTAGCATTTAGCATCACCTGTCCCTATGGGCCGTTACTCTCCACCTTTGGATCACTACCAACATAGCTACATGCAAAAAGCTAAACTGTAAAGCTAAGGTCATACTTAAAGGCATCGAGTGTTGAGTAAAAAAAAAAAAAAGAAAGATCTTTTTTCCTTACCTCCAAGCCATTGAAATTTACCAGTTTAATTTCAGCATTTGCTAATCATAAACATGCACTTCCTACATGGCCCTCTAGGGGGTGCTAAGCACAACCATGCCGCTGCAACCCCTTCGCAATTTGAGGAATTCTAACAAGGCTGATAAAATGTCCCCGGCTTTTACGGTACAGGAAAACAGGGCACGAAAGATTTGAGGGATACTTCAGAACGTTTATTTTGCTAAGTTAATGGCTATCGAAAGATCTTAGCGGCCTTTATTTATTCAGCCTTTTAGTGTGGCCTTGAAAGCGCTGCCTTCCACCTGGCCCTCTTAAAGTCAGTCCCTGGGTCCTTTTAAAGCTGCCTGCTGTGGGCTCACAGGCCGTGCCGTCCTCCGACACACACGGCTTGCATTAAAAACGGGCCCGGACGGCACCGATGCAGGCGGACGAGGCCTCCCTCCTCGCCGCATGACGACAGGCACCTTTAAAAACAGCCTTTGCCTTCTCATGACATCCTGTCAGTAGTCTGTAGCTTTTTTTCCCCCCATCTGCCTTCCCTTCAGAATTATAGTTTTCCTGTCAATCAAACCACCCAATGAGTTGCATGTGTGAGTCGGGAATAAAACTAAATTCAAATTGATACCATGTGCAACCATTATGAGGAAAAAAATAATTGGTTTACAATAATATAGGTCTTTTCAATATGTGGGACAGAGCTTTTAAATAGCCTGGCCTCCAAATTGTACCCTAATCCTCTACTGAGCCCGCGTCTTCTTAACCATGAAGACACGCGGCTGTGGGTCAAAGGTCATTTGGTGTGTAAAATGGCGTTCAGTCAGGCCAAAGTCGGACAGAACTCCAACTCAATACTGCTACAAAGAAAACAGCGAAGGGAAAGCCAGGCTCATTTAGTCTGTACACTCCTCTAACCTGTCAATAATTCACACCAGTAAACAATTGTAAATATTTTATGTGATGCTGTGCTTCCATTTAGTTCAGAATCAATTTTTGGAAAAATACAGAGAAGCTACCGGGAGGTGTGCATTTGTTAAGATAGGGTGACCAGATAATCCATGTCAGGGAGGGGACTTTGAGCTGGGACAGGGTTTCTAAACTACCATTTCAATTATGAGGACCTGGATTTCACTTAAGCACTGAGTTCTTGCTGTGTGCTGATTGGTCAGTCTCCTATAATCGTGCATGTGTCACTAATGCTAATGTGAAACAGCTGGATGAGTCTTTCAATCAAGAAAACACACCAGTCAAAGCACAAGAAGAGTTGAACTATTTAGCCAAGCACAGGAGACTTTCAATTTGAAAGTAGTTTGTAAAACCTGAAGTAGCTCAAAGTGTCCTCCCTGACATGGATTATCTGGTCACCCTAGTTAAGATGGCAAATTTCAAACAGGCAAAATGTATTTTCTGTAGATTATAAAGAAGCTGAAACGGCTGGCGCCGTATTGCCTCCTCAAGATGGCTGGTAGTAACACGACCGGGGGTTTGCAAACAGTCACTGATTGATCACTAATCGACAAGAGAGGCAGATCTGCCAATGGCTAACGGTTTTATAGCTAGTAGGCAGTGAATGAGGAATGAGGAATGAGCAGAGGTGAGAGTGGGGGGGGGCTGCCTCAGATGGGCCATCCTACATCTTTCTTTACTGACCTCATCAGGTGGCTCTGGTCTTTCCCGTAAAAGTGGTCCGAGAGCCGTGGGCGACCACTAATAGCTCCTCAGACTGTCAACTCTTGCCTGACCCCGTGGTGGGGAAAAGGGGGGGTAGCCTGGGGGTGTTTATGGGGACAGGTGCGGATTCCGAGGCAGCCGGATGGTTGCCCCCCCCCTCCCTTTGGTATCACGTTCCCACCTCCCACGTGGGGGTGCATCCGGCTGCGCCGAGCTCGCTGACCCCTCGCCACGATGTTCAGAAGCGACTGATGCTCGAGTCCCAGGGCTCGCCATGTCCAAGCCATGAATCTGCTCGCGTTACTGTTGATGAGCCTAAAGTCCGACGGGTCCGACTAAGTGATACAGCCAAATGGAGTACAGAGAATGAAGGGGGATCGATGGGATTAAGCAGAGAAGCGGCTCTGCGGTGTGGCGTTAAATATGCTCATATAGACACGTTTCCTGACATGCAAATCACGGCTGGTACATCACCATCATCACAATTGCTCTCACGATTACTAGACTTTAAGAACATAGTTATTTTTTATTGTATCCGTCAATTGTTTGAAAACTACTTTAATAATGACAAATCTGGCATGAAGATCCAAAAACACAAATGACAAATCAGAAGAGGGTTATAATGTGTTTATTTCTGACCGAACGAGGGGTCGTGTGCGAGATGCACGCGGACGAGCTCGCTGATGACCTAAGTGACCCTGACGTCATTTTCCACAGCGTTTCCCCTCAGCCAGACACCCGGCGTGTCAGAGGCATGCCGAGCATGCAAGAGGACAAAACCCACACAGCAAAACAAAGAACCGCCGCGGTTACGAGGGTGACATCATCCGCACGCCGGCTCTTCCGGACGCCCTGTCTGACTCGGGCCTCAGGGGCGGCGCTAACGAGGTGGGAGCTGACACAGGCACGCTGACGACGCAAGAGCAGCTGGACACTGCTGGGAGCACTAAAACGCCCGTCCTTTGTAGCGCAGCGAATAACTGCTGCCAGGGCTAAACGCTACTGCTAAACGCAGAGTCACCGAACCCCGAAACGCGTGCAACTCACGCAGACGCCCTGCTGCATGGATGTTTGCGCTGGTTTCAAAAGGCAGATGTTCAGCAGGGTTTTTAACTTCACCAACAGAACTGCGGATAATGATACTTTATGTGCCAGATGGACATGCATATAGGAATTCTTCAGATTTCACATATCCCATACTACTGTTGAGAGAGCAAACCTTGGGGTCAGAGCGGAGGGTCGGCCATTTTTCCAGCACCTCTGGAACAGTTTCTGGGATTAAGGTCCCAATGGTGAAATGATTGTTCTATCAGCCATGGGAATCGAACCGGCAACCTTCTGAACACACTCACAGTCTCCTACGCACCGTCCGCAGCTGTAGGCCAGTTGCGAGCGAGTCGCGGTCACGGCACTCAGACAGAAACACGCTTACCGACACAAACAAACCATCCATCAAATGAAACGTAACGAAATACTGTCTGAGCAGCTGGCACAATAACCTGCCAACACCACCAGAAAAATCAACTTCCAGCTTAAATCGATTTTGAAACTGCGGCCTGGACCCCCAGCTGGCCAGCCCCACCCCGCCCTGGGAATTCCGGGTCTGGCCACTCGCTTTAAATAAACGGCTTACGTGGCTTTAACGCGGCAGACAGCGGCTCCCCTGGGAGGTGTCCTTACGTCTGTCATTGCTATTTCTGCCGCGTGACAAGGGGGACGAGCCGAAAACACAGAACAAGACCATATCTTAAGCACAGGCCTGGAGCGACTCGCTGGGGAAGCCCTCGCGATATGGGAATCCAGCGTCCATCACCCTGCTCCAACAAAATAATCTACTGGGAAGCCATTAAAGAGTTACCGGGTGGGTGAAACTATTACATAGTTACTGGGTGGGTGAAACCATTGAACAGTTACTGGCTGGATGAAACCATTACATAGTTACTGGGGGAGGGGGGTGAAGTCATTAAACGA